CATCAATGCAGAATTGAAAAAAAATTGAAAAATTTTTCAATCTCTTCCAAAATTTTATAGCAGAGGAATATACTTGAATAACTAGGCATCTTATTTTGAAATGGGTCTATTTAAAACAAATTCACAACAAATGACAACTACAGAAACATCATTGTTTTCAGACATCTCTACTATTTTGAAATGTACTCCTTACCTAATTATAATCCATTTGTACTGAATTATTAGATAAAGGCAATGAACTATATTAACCCTTTCTCCCCTATAGAATCAAGTAATCTGTGTGGGAATTTGCATGTCCCACAAATGTTGTACCTACAGAAGAGGTAAATAAACTTGAGGGGACACCCTAAAAACTGTAGGAATGAAAATGAACAAGCTCACATCATGATTTGTTGGGGTTTATTTTAAAATTTTAAATCTTGCCTCAAAAACTGGTCTTTTTCCAAAAACAGATAGCCCTCTCCCCAAACACCCACAGGACAGGCATCAATCAATCCCAGTGAAAGATTTTCTTTATGTGAATTGTTGTCCAGTCCTTACCTAACTTTTATTTAGGAGTTTGAAACTGAAAGTGACTGATAACATTTCTTAACCTATAAAAACCCAAGACAGACACTAAGAGCACAACATTTTTATACATAAAACTTTCTAATCTCATTTCTGAAGGCTTGTCTGCTTAAATATTTCTCTATATCTGGAACTTGAATTATCAAACTCAAGGTAAAGTCAGAAACGGGCCTCCCAGGAATGTGAAGCAAGAAAGTACTCACTTATTGTTTTGAACTTTAAATGTGCTCTGACACATGTGATATACACAGAATGCAAGAGATTTTATCAACAGTTATTTGACATGATCAAAAATGACTTAAACATATAACACAGAATTGTAACTGGATTTTTCACCTACTCAAGCTGACAGCATTGGTTCCTCTAAAGGTATTCAACCTCTTTTTTTTTTTTTCCCCCCAAGATTTCTCTTGAAATAAAGACAGACTCATTTTATGTCTACAGTGATACTGGACTTTAAAAAAAAAAAAACATGCCAATGTCTTGGGACACTACTATATCTACTTCATTTTCAAAGAAAATAGACAGATCAATACCTATAATCTCTTCTATACTTACCATTATTGTTCTTGTCGTGTGGCTGGATGATTCTGGAAAACAGAAGAACCACAGCATATTAGAGCATTGTCTTTATCCGTAAAAGCCCTGTTTTCTGATGCTCATCCTGAAGGCTAAGATGCTACTGTTCAGCTACAACAATGAACACATCAAAAATGAAAAGACTGAAAAGATTTCTCATGAAATGAGCATGAGAATCATCACTGATCCTGAATATATATGGCACATTATAATATGCTGTTAACTGCACTCATTCCCTTTGCTTAATTGTCCTCTTTTGCAAGAAAATATAAAAATGGAACTAATTCATAATTCATGTTTCAAGAAGTGGGTTTTTTTCATTTTGCTTTTAACATATGGCATCATTTAACATGGAGGATTAGCTCTGCAGAAAGAAATACAGACAGTATCAGCATAATTCCATTACTGTTCCCATTTGAAAAGGTTTTATAAAACTAGACAACCAGTTTTACGAGAATTCGGAGATGGATGCTCAGTTTGAAATTGATAAGTATGTTGAGAAATGTAACATCCAAACATGTTAACTATTGTCTCCTACATGATAAATCTGGAATCAGTCAACTGAACCCATGGTTATATTTATATAAATTGCAGAGGAATCACTACTAGACAAATAGCTAACAGATTTTACCCTGTTGTTTAACTCAAATTACTTCTGCTTTTTTCTTTCCCCAAGAACAGAAATCTCTCTTTGGCTTTAAAATGCTACAGGTTTCATTTTCAAAGCAGTGCAACTTGAGCAACTAAAGATCCTAATAAACAGTTTAAAAGCCTGCAAGAAAATTCACTGCTGATCTATAAGATGCAAGATATTGCTACTAGCAGTCTCACAGACTTGTTCAAAAATCTGGGTCTAGCAGACAGAATTCTTAAGGATGAGATAGTTATCAACACTATGTTCAGTTCTGCATAAAATGTACACAATTCTGCATGAATTGAATCAGCAGAGTCTCAGTCCTGCAAGCGAGATAAACGTACAATTACAATGTGTTTGTTATTCTCGCCTTGGTTTCAAATTGCCAGTCTTAGATGGGTTCCAACTGGCATCACTTAGACCAAGAATTCTCCAGGGATTTTTTGTTATTGTTAAAAGTAGTATTAAAGAGATTAAAAGGACAGGAGAAAGAACAGCTGCACATCTTTTTCTGAAAAAAAATTATGGTAATTACACTCTCAAACATTTTCTTTCATTTTGAGGAGTCATCTTAACCAGTCTGAAGATATCATTCAATCACTGATAGAAACAAAGATAAGCCATTTTAATATTCTCAAAGTATTTAGAAACTCCAATATTCAACATAAATTCCTGTATTTAGTTTATATTTAAGTTTGTACAAGTCTTCTTCCTCCTCAATCAACTCTAATTAAAAAAAAATGTATAACTAATATTACATTGATAAAGGTGCTATAATATGAATATCTCCCTAAGCCAGCAACATTTTAGTTGTGAATTCCTCTACCAGTGTTCTTTTCCTCTCTTTTTTCACACAAAAAATTATTGTATATAAAAATACACTTCCAGACAATTTTTAAACTGGTATGAAAAAAAAAATACTGTGACAGTCTATTGTTTCCTGATACCTGAATATATTTGGCATTCTTATAAAGTAAGAGAAGATCTCAGTAGAGTGAAGAACTCTACAATCTGTAAAGTTTTTATCTTTACAGTAAAGTTATTTTTGTTATTACAACTTTACTTATTTTTTGACACAATATTTCAGGACCTGACTGCTCCTGAGAAAACCCAGAGACTGCATTCATGGAGGTATAACCACCTGAAAAACTCTTGAGACAAAGACTCATTCCATTCATAAGCCTAAATATCCAGAAAAAAAACCCAATCGATCTCCAAAAGCACAAGTGTATTTACTGAGGAATCCTCAACTCAGGCAGAATTATCAGGTTAAAAAAATAGAAGCTGCTTCTCTCTTGAAATACAGAAGAAATACATTACACAGCACTTTCAGTCACCCCCAATATGATCACAGTGAACAAACAAAAATCCACACTTTTTATATTCAGATACTACTAATAAAACCTTCCCTCTTACTCAAGGTGCCATACTTTTGGCATAGCTTTTTATGCCAAATCTATAAAAACTGTGATTAGCCATGAGTGTCCCAAAGTACTCAGATACCACCTCAGTTCTGCCGACAACTGAGAGTATCTCCCTAAAATGAACTGAGGAACAGCTGAATGTACCTGGAAGTTGTTAAACAGTGTATTTTTGAAGAAAGTCTGACAGACACTGCTAATGCAATGCCAGCAGCTGTTAACTTCAGGATATTACCATATTGATAACCTATTAACATAACCCAGAAATGAAGAAAGATCTGTAATATTTGTAAATATCTATGTGTTATATCATACAATAAAAATCATTCTCGATTTTTTGCATATATTTTTCTTGCTCTGGATACTGAAATATCATCTAAGTTGCAAAACATCAAAGACCTGAGTATATCTATAAATAAAAATGTAGGGAAAGAACTATTTAATAAGTAGACAGAGTCAAAAGATTCTAGGGTCTAGCAGAGACTACTAATTAAGCTGCCATTGTTACACAGATTAAACCCTTGCATACTCTGATACACAAACATTCAGATTTTAGAATTGAGGAGATATTGATTTCCTCCAGAAAATAATTACACCCTGATTTGGCAGGGTTCTGAAAAACATTATGCATGAACACACACCAGCCAATTTTGTGGAAAACTTTTAATTAAGGCAGCTAAGAAAGAAAGCCCTTGCTTAAAAAGGCAGTCACGCAGCATTTGAAACCTTTACAAAAGGTCTGCACCCCAATGCAAACTCCAATGCAGCTTAAGGGCATCCGAGTTTATTTAAAAACCACAAATATCTTGGTGTGCAACAGAACAGAAAACAAAACTTTGGGTTTTCAGTTTTACCTGCCAAGTTTCAGAATGCCTTAGGGAATTGAAATAATCGGGTTTGAATTTCAGTGAAACTGGCACCAGTGGACATCTGGTTTATAAACGAGTTCTTACAGCAAATGATTTTGTGCAAAACAACAACCTGTCCTTCACCACTTCACCAGAAAAGGAACTCCAGCATACAGAACAATTCTCACCTTATGGTCAGTGAAGTGGATTGCTCCACTTTAAACACAAATGATCAGACATCATTATCACTAAGAAGGGTTTTTGGTGATGTGAATTATAGTAAATGCAACTTCAGTGCTGACAAAATGTTTGTAAGTGTATTATTATGGAGAAAGTGATGCACCAGGAGCTGAAACTCCGTAAGATGCTTCTATGCTCTTTCTACAACACATTTATTTGAACTCAAATAGAAATGAGTAAGTTGTAGAAGAAATTTCTTCACATTAAAACAACCATTCTGATCAATCAAGTGTTTCTCCCTGTTTACAGGCACTATGAGACCATGATATTTCCCACTGTGAAACCATTTAAGGCTAAATCAGAAAAAGTGCACTGCTAAAGGATGGTGTCAGCTACAGAATTATTTCAAGTGTACACATTATTCCCCAGTAACATGTTATTTTTTATTCCCTTGGCAGTTCTTCAAGCCAGGACAGAACCCACATCCTTAATATCACTCCAGTCCTTTTCCAGCTGTTCATATGTTACTTGTACACTATTGTGCTATTTTTTATTTCTGCTGATAGAATACTTAATTATCTGATAATTCTCTTTCTCTTTTATGTTAATGGGGTCATCAACAATACTCATGGGTAACAGGTGTCCTGTTTCTAAACCTTCCAGAATAAATATGCTTGAAGATAATGTAATTTTGACGCGTGGAAAATATAGGCAGACTGGCAATAGTAGAGCTGTTTAATCCTAGTATCATCTCAGCTTATCATGGTAACCAAACACAAATATTTTTTCCCCACCAGCTTCTAGTAATGGAATAAGTGACATTTTTACTTCAAAGGCATTAATAAAAATAAATAGATACATGTCTATATGTCTTATAATCATACTAAGAATGAGTTTGAGGAAGACCCTTATTCTGCCAAAAGAAAAATTTTAAACACTGGAGAAACAAATACAGTTGAAAAAAAAGAAAAAGTGTACTAAATTATCACAAAGCATTTTCCCCAGACACAGGAACTTCCCAGTTCCACTGCCTAAGCACTTTCTGAAGGTGCCTCCCCTATTGCATTACGTACTAAAATTGTTAAGAACTATTGCTCTGCAATCACAGCTTACAAAAAATAATCAACCTACTTGACAGTAATCACACACAGAAGCTCTTTGAGTATGAACTCCAGATCTTGAATCCAGAACATGTAATTCATGGGGTAATACGCTGCTAATCCTGTTAGCCAACAGACAGGATTCTCTTTCTGCCACTGTAATTCTTTAAAATAATACTGGGGGAAAGTAGTGATTCCAGGAATTAAGTTCTGCCTATCTGCATTGTGTTTTAATTGCTAACTTAATTACAGTGCTGTTGTTTGCTGTTTTAAAGGCCGGTTTATTCTGCCAATTAGAAAAGCCAGTGTTACTGGCAGTTTCATGTCTACACATGACCTGTATATTAAAAAAAGAAGCACTGATTCAACAGCAGAAATGGGGCAATTCACCATGAAGTGCCCTTTCCTCCATCTGCCATCCCACACATCTTGCTCTTTCTAATCCCTGCTGTCATCAGTGTTATCAGAAGCACATGTTGCACTGGTGAATTCAGGGATACAACATTCTAATCTTTTCATAAGCATTCATTTCCTTCATACAACAAAAAGGAAATTATCTACTGCACACTCAAAGTAGTGCATTAAAGCCTGAATGTGACTCTAGTTTTGTTCCCCCCTTTTTTTTTTTTTTTTTTTTTGTGAATCAACTCTAGGCACAGAAGCCTTACACAACCAAAGACACGTTTTTGAAAGAAACAAAAAAAAAAAATTAATAATAGTCCCTTATGCAATTTCCTAGTGTACTTACACCCTGGGAAATAACTCCCATTTCTCAAGACGCAGTAAAGCTGAGCATTTCGGTTGAATGCAAATTGTATTTTGACTTTGGTAAAACAAAAACAATCTCTCTCCATATTTAAAAAATCACAACACAGCGCTATGCTAATGCTTAGGAACCAATTTTTTCCAAAGGAAATTCAAGAAAACGTGGGTTTGCAGAAATGGTTCTGCTCCTCCCAAGTACTTCACTACTTACCTTCTCCCGCTGAAAAATATTTTGCAGTTGGGGCAGTCTTCAGATACTTCAGAATGGAAGACTATCCTTTTATTTGTAATAAAAGAATCTTAAATACTTGGGAGATAACTGTAAAGTTACTTCAATGTAGGCAAATGATCACCACACATTTATCATTGTAAGATAATAAATAATTTTCTCGGTTTTAAGAAATTCTGGGGGGAAAAGATATTTCTGGTTTATTTTTTTGGACAAAAATGTTTTCCTCTTAGAGGATTATTTTTTGTGTTAAGTCACAATACCATTTGTATCCCTGGGTTTGCAGGAATGAAGACTGAAGTGGGGAATCATCAACTCATTGTTTTATAATACAAAAATTTAAATAAGGGGGAAAAAATTAGTTGAGACATGCAAGCATGAGATGCATAGCTCAGTTCTATAAATGATTGACAAGGTCAGCAGTAACACTCTGGGTTAATTAAGGCCTGTATCATTTTCCAGGCACACTACTTGGGCTCTGGAAGTTGTCACTAGTTCATTATTCTCAGTTTGATCATTTGTACCTCTGCAAAAGCAAGTGAATATACTGACCACAGTAATGGAAGCCGTAGAGCATTTTAGTTTTCTAATAAATATTTAAAATTGCTTTCAACTGGACAGTGAAAATAGACAGAAATTAGCTACTCTTGTGTAAGTTGCAACAGTCAAAAGTAAAAAGGTTGTTAGGTCAGTCTCTTGAGGGTCAGAGATGGTTTCAATGACTTTGAAGAGAAAAGCAGTACAAGGTTCTTAACACTTTCATATAAGCATAATAGTAATATATTTGGGGAAATAACTAGGAGTCACAAACACCCTTTTCATAGCCCTCTGCTTCTCCTGTAAATGAGAGTAAGACAATATCAATTTTTCCTGAGATCTGTTTTCCATGCTCACATTTCCATCAATACCAGTGCACACATTTGAACAAGAGATCTGTAGCTAAATATTTGAAAACATTTTCTGGCTCTATAAAGGACCAAAAATAGAATGCAGGTGTCCTAAGTAAACTTCAGAGGGAAAACTGACTGTGGAACAATATATAGCCTTTGTTTCTCACTTTCGGGAAGAGTGAGTATATGAAATTCAGCATGATTTAGACTTTGTGTTTCAGCATGGAAGAAATGGCAAAAGTGAATTCACACAGGATCTTGTTTATCACAGCTCATTTTTTCTCTTTCAGTTGGAAATCACTGGTATGTTAAATGAGGTCTATAACAATTTTGGTAGGTTTATAGTTTCTTACTGCGTAAAAGAAAACTCAAATTAATAGAGTGTCAGATGTTTTTGGTAGGCTATCCATGCTTATAGCCTTCCACCCCAGCCAATCATCTCCACCTCTATCAAAAAGTTGTACTGTGATAAAAACAACCACACATCTTTGAGAAAAAACAACAGTGTTGAAAAAAATCCATCCTACAGTGAAAACTCCTTTCCTGTAATGTCTTCTCACACAGGGTTATGTGAACACACAATGAAGCACATGTTAGAATTGTTTTTTCTGTTCCAAGAAAATTTGCAGCAGGAGAGGCTCCAGTCTCCCTGCCTGTCAGTTAGGCTGCTTACATTTTTATTTGTTTGTCAAATGAGAGTCTCAAATTCCCCATGGCAAAATATGATTGAAGAATAAGCCTTTCTTCCTTGCTTATCTCCTGAGTAGCCAATACTATCAGTCAAAAGCAGAGAGAGAAGGATTGACCAAAAAATCAGCTGAGAGAAAAGGTACATTTTTTTGAGGTCTTTCTCCCTTTGTCAACTGCCAATCACCTCATCTTTCTGGGCCAGATATATGTGGGATCTTAGAAAAAAAGAGCCCCAAATTGTTGCCTCATTCCTAGATACTCCATGTATCTGCTGCACACTTCAGTACAGGCAGGAACAGAAATCTGACTGTTGAAAGAATTCTCTTGAAGGCATCAGGACATCTCAGCCTGAAAGAAAGCAGTAAAGATCTGGACAGAGGAGGATCAGGGCTGTTGATTCAAGTCTCGTCAGCTATGAACAATCAATTCTCTTATTTCTGCCCACAAATCACGCAATTGGTATCAACAGGTACAGGCTGATTTCTGTATCTCATTAGTGATGTTGATATCTTGGACGTCCTGTGGATATTCTGGTTCTGACGCATGTGAAGGCAAGGAAATGTGTGCCAGATGACGGAGATTATTCTCATGTAAAATATCTCTACCTGATGTTTCCAAATACTATAAGCAAAATGATCATTACTCACCCTGACAAAACAATAGGCTGACGTGAAACTCGACTACTTGGACGTACAGCTGCTAGCAGTTAAGCAGTTTGTGGGTGAAAGTAATTGCTCAGAATAATTTCAGACACTGTAATTTAAAGATCAGATTCAAAATATCTACAAAGCACTTTACAGTCACACCTAAATCTTCCCATAATCAACTCCAGACATAAAACTGGATACACGTAACATTCTGCATCATCGTGATTTTCTGAAGATGGAATTTTCCCATTTGAAAGAGGTTGTCTTCAGCTGCAGAGAAACACTTAAATATCTTCTGCTGGCTTTAATTTCAGCAGCAACCGAAATACTGCACCTCAGAGTAGTTAAAAGCATCAGCTTATTACACAAAAATTTCCCAAAGTACTGTGACTTGTTTTTCCAGAAGAGAAAAAAAAAAAAACAAAACACTTTATGGCATTTTTCACTACATCCTACAGAATGCAAGACTTGATGCTGTTTGAAAACAAAACAAAAACCACTTTTCTAATACCATCCAGCAAAAATCTTCCTCCTACAATAAGCTACATACACACACATACATACATACACATACACAGTGCTTAGGAAGAGTTTATGAAGAGATAAATGAGCTCCCTCATCATTCTTGATAAAGATGGAGCAATTGTGGCCAGAAATTTCTGACTCCTCAGCACAGAATCTTGTGCTGCATTGGCTAAAAGCAAAACTCAAGCCAACATAAGATTCCTATAAAAAATGCTAATCATATTCTTGTTTATTATTCTTAAAAGCATTTAACTAAATATTAATGATGTTTCTCAATCTTTCCCCACTTCCCCATAGAGGCATAAAGAAGTGCCATTTCCATAATGCACTGCTATATTCTAAACCAATAATTATTAATTTGCTTAATAACAAATCTGTCCAAATATATTACTTACCTAGGCAGTAAGACTGACTTAAATTATCTAAATATATATTTGCACAAGCCTAAACAACATTTACTTGAATGCTCTAAATTATTGCATATCTTAAGTAAACATATTTATATGGCTTCCTTACAACAAATTCCTAATACTGGTGGGAAAAAAAAAGTAAACTTGAACATGCAGATACGTCAATAACATTATGAAAATTGCAACAAATGACAGAATATAAGTCTCCTGTCCTCCTTTTTGTTAGTTCATTTCATCAAAGCATGCACTGACAGACAGAATCTGTCATCATCTCCATTAGCAGGCTTTCTGGATACTGTTAGTTGACACAGTGCAATAAAACCTTAAGCAATCAATTGTATTTTGGAACCAAAACAGCTTTTTAGTATATTTATAGTAACACAAAAACTCTGGGGGTTGGCAAAACCTTTCACTGCACAAATAGTACACTGTGGTCAGGGAAATTACACAGAAACCACCATTTCCCAAGTTGATCTCGTCACTGAGTGTTTGCTGTGTTCTGAAGAGAAGCTGGATGAATTACAACCAAAACCATATATTTTATATTTACCAAGAACCAGACGACTAGGTAAATTGTAAATATTAAAGTAAAAAATTTTTAAGTCAAAAGGAACAGAGGACATGTGCTGTTGAGCATCATTACTATCAGTTTGTTACTTTTTCGTTGCATTTTATTTACACTTCACCATCTTTAAGTAAAGAAATAGGCAAGGATAAGAACCATTTTCAAGTACTAAAATAGTCTTTTTTGCACTAAAATAATACAGATTTCAGTTATTTAGAATATATGCTTTCCAGTATGTTGTTTTCATGGAAAACAGATAATAAAAATAGTTATCTCCTAAAGCAATGACTTACAATTCTCAATACTGATTTTTCAAATTAGATGTTATTTTGTGCAAATTGACTTAACACAGTTAGCTGACTGATACAAACTAATCAGTGTGGCTAATAACTAGTTTTATACACTCTTTCCTTTGAAGACAACTAAGTAGAAAAAAAATTTTACAGACTTCCAAGCATGCCCCCTTACAGGGACATGAGGAGTGACTTAATCATAATAATGTTTACCTTGATCTTATTGATACAGTCTTCTCTGAAATAGAAATGTGCAGGTTGTAGCAAGATGTGTGTCGATCTCTTGTCCCAGATAATAAGCAACAGGACAAGAGGAAATGGCCTCAAGTTATGTCAGGGGAGGTTTAGGTTGGATATCAGGGAAAATTTTGTCTCTGAAAGGGTTGTCCAGCACTGGAACAGGATGCCAAGGGAAAGGGTTGAGTCATCAAAATAGAGCATACTGCATCTCTGCCTTCATCAAATTTGTTTTATTCTTTTTCTTTTGTCCTTTTTTCATCAAGATTAGTAAGAAAAATGGTAAATGAAGTTTTTGTAAGAGAGGGCATTAATATTTCCTTGTTCAATGAACAAGCACCACTATTCACTGCATCGATGCGATAAACATGCTATCCCTATCTTACATTTTTTAACTCTGTATCCTCTTATTTAATGTCATCTCAGGTTCACAGGAAGTTTTGCAATTCAGAGACTTAAAGAGTATTTTTTTTTTATTCCTTCACATACCATCAAGACCATTATGATGGCTGTAGTTTCTTTTTCCCAAAATACTTAATGAAGAGTGATTGGAGGGTGGAAGCAATCGTTTTGCACTTGGACTTTGAAGGCTTGGGGTTGACCTGATAACATTTGGTTTCACAGCAGGATGTATCTCTGAGAAAAAGAAAAAAAAAGAGAGAGAGAAATTATATGTACTTGATTTTAAAATAAAGAAAACCAGTCTATTTCACATATTAAAATTACTTTTGATTTTCAGTGAAAGGAAAGAAATTTTTTTCTGCACTTGTGTCTTTATAGGACCTTGAACAACACTTTAAACATAAGTCTTCATACCCACAGGTCCTCCAAGTAAGAAAAATCGATATCACTTTAGACTACCCAAGTTCAATACTGTGGAGCAGACGTATAAGGATTTGAGAAGTTGAAGAGGTAATAGACATAAAATCATCTGAAATAGGTCTATGTTTTTATTTTCTTACCCTTTTGAGGTTTGTATTGAAGCTACACGCCTACAGATTTTTTTAGCAAGGAAATAAAAGTATTTTACTATAGCGAAACCACCTCAAGCTATTCAGTATTTTCTCTCACAATAAGAAGCTTTAAGGGAACTTCCCACACAGAAGTCACAAGGTGCCGGAGAGTCAGGGGGCCAACCACTGTAGGGCTCTGCAGCTCAAACTACCCCGAAACTGCAACAGGAACACTCCAATACAGTTATTACTGGGGAGTTTCAAACATCCTAATATGTTTCATACAGCAGGAGAAGGAGGAATAAAGAGGGTAAGAGGCAGCAAAGTGCATCTGGCCAGCACACTTCAGGGTGGCAGCTGCTGTGTTTGCCAAGAGCTGATACAGCTGTATGGAAATTTCTCAGTTATCTGCCAGATAAAAGCAGCAAAAGGAAGCCTCTGTCGAGTCTGCTTATTCTTCAACAGGAATTTGCTGAGCCAACTAACTTATTCCCATCACACATTTGAGTTCAAAATGCCACCACTGTGCACAGCCTTGGGCAGACCAAATTCGTGTGTGAAGTCAGATGCCCGAGGGCAGGTCCTGTCCTTCTGACACATCCACAGAGCACCAGCTGCCAGCACTGCACAGCTTATGAGGCACTCACAGCCCAATTACACCAGCCACTTGACGTCCCCATGCAGCAGAAGACACTTCTGTCTCACCTCTGGGCTGAGAAGATGAGGGCAGAGGGATAAAACACACATCAGGAGAGTCAGCTGCCCAAGGGGGCTAAGATCAGAAGACAAAAATTAAGCACTTTCTCATACGCAGCCCAGGTTTACAACTCCTGTAGAATGCTTCTTTCTGCTTTTCTGTTTGCAAAAAGCACAGAAGCTGGGAATAAGCAAAATCTACACTGAGGCCAGATATCCAAGAAGGCTCTGCAGCCTCTACCATTCACAGCTATCGTTCCAGAGGAAGAGAAACCATTGCATAACAAAGTTCATTGCAATAACGTGTTTTTCCTCCTTGGCACTTCTGAAGGAAGCCTGACATCCAAGCACTTGCCTGCCCTGCCTCATGGTCTCGCTCTCACGGTGAGCCCTTGTGGGCAGCTGGCAGGTACCCAGCCTGCCCATCCCACAGGGAACAGGTCACGACTGCAGGAGAGGCTGGGGATAAGCCATGAGAAGTCATGATAACTTTTAAAAGGTAGGTACATAAAGGTGAGAAGGCCCAAAAGTTTCATCAGTATCCAAAGGAGTGGAAAGGAATAGAAAGGTCACAGTGACTTGGTCAGGCTGTACTGGGAACAGCACGCCAGAAGGAGACAATGCCAACAAATACTCATGTTGGAAAAGACTTTACTTAATTGTTCACCACTGGTTTGGTTGGAGCTTGCAAACACACTCTCAAAGCATGAGCACCCTCATACAAGAAGCTTCAGGAAGGCTAGATAAGGGTAATGCAAAGGCAAATAGAGAGAGAGGGTACAGGTGATCTCTTCAGGGCAGTCTTGTAGATGTGGGTGTGCAGCTAAAGGCTAGTTTAGTGTCACCAAATTTCTCACCACTTAATTAGATGAAAGCTTCTTCCTGACATTCACTGCAGTATGCATCTGCTTTTCATATAAAAAAGTTTAAGAACACCAAGCACCCAGCAGATTTCTAACATGTCCCATTTTTCTTGATGTAGGGAACAAGCATCTTGTATTTTGCTTCTTTACTAAAATGGGAACTGAGGCGTGTTTAATGTTATGAACATTACTGATTGCTAAGGCAAAACTTTAAACTGAAATAGAAACACTTGTGCCATTTGCTGTAGATGGTTGGAATTTGGATTCTAAAATGTTCATTTGGCAATCTTCTCCAATTTTCTGAAGGAAATGGTAAATTTTCAGGGCTAACATCATTAAAATATGATTTTATTTGCCCAAGAGATCCAGCAGCAGCCACAATAATCCAAAGCAGCTGTGTCAACATATGAGAACTCAAGCTCCTTCCATCTACAGCATATAGGAGATGCATTTTTATATTTTCAGAGTGAGAAAACAGTTGAGTAAGAAAGCATTTCCTTCCTTCAACTTCTCTTAGTTCAGCAGTCACTAATCCTCTATTAGTTTACCACAAAGGTTGACTCTTTCTGGAGTAGAGGAAGGTGGCAAGAACAAGCTCTATATTTAAGTTCCAAAAAGGAGTTTAATTAAGCAACCAGGACACTTCCGAATGCACTGAATCCTTCCTTTGGGGTCTTCATGCCTCGCAATCACTCCTCCTCTATGTACAGACTTCCTTCAAATATTTTCATGCCTTAGATCAACACTTTCTAACCAGATATTTCATCACAACTGAGAAGGGTAATGAGGCATTTCAGTGGTTTCACCTGAATTATATTATCCCATTGTATAGTTGCATTATGGAATAATAGTAATTATCAATCTTTTAATTCCTGCTGCTCTTATCCTTGATCTATTGCCTAGTAATTCACTGAAAATCTTCTAGCTACCCACACCTTTTGCTAACTCAAGAGAAATGACTATAGCATCCAAATTACCCAAATTACCCCTTTACCCACATAACAAATAATCAGTTGGCCATACTCTTAAATGAAAATAAGACAAGAGACAATGTTTCAACAATGTATTAGAAACATTTTAGAGGACCAGATTACCAAAATGCAGCCTCAAACAAGTGAATAACAATAACAACACCAAAAAGTTCTCCCATTTCCACTTATGTCAGTAGACTAAAAAAAAAAAAAAATAAAAAGCCCAAAGCAAACAAAGAGAAGTTGAAGTCTCCTACTGAGTTACTTAAATAAGCATCCTGGATTCCAGAGGTGCTTAAGCAGCTGCACCTCTCTCTCATCTTATCTCCTCAACATGTATCACAGCTGGAAATGTGAGCTTGGTTTCCTCATAACTAGGAGGTAACAAAGGACATTTAATTAGCCAAGGGTTCACCTTAGGGGCTTTGTTTTAGTAAGCACAGTGATGACTGAAGGGATTAGAGGGGATTAGCCTCGCTCTGTGGAGGACAGGGCCTAATTTTTATGCTTAACCTGCCTCATCTATGGAACTGGCAGCCAAGAAGCAGAACAGGGATAAAGGTAAGTGATGACCCAGGATGTGCAGGGCACTGAAATCCTCTCTGCATCACCAGAAAGGTTGAAAACAGTAGTGCCCTGAGACACACAGTTAGCTGTATGCCAATAAATGACTGCAGAAATGGCATGGGAGGAATTGTAAAAAGAAAACAAATGCCTCCTGTATGACCTATGACATGATATTTAATACTCACTTTTATGAGAAAAACAATTCAAGCGTTACTCGTTTGCTGAAACATGCAAAAATCCCAAATAAACAAAAAAAATCACAAACTAAAGACAAAGCAAAAAAGAAAACCCCAAAGAAACCACAAAAAACCTAAAACAAACAAACAAAACCACAAAAAAAACCCTCTAAAGAAAAAACAAACCCACCAAGCTAAATGGCAAACAAAAAGCCATTTTCTAGTCACCCTTATAGAGCTAATTCAGATGCACGTATTCAACTGCACTGGGTACACCTCATATCCCTGCAACACATAATTTGCCTTCAGCTGTAGTGGAATACCTTCACTTCCCATACAATCAAATGCTAAGCAGACTCTACAAATACCTGGTATATTTTAGGACTGTTAATCTTCTACCACACGTTCACCTAAATACGCAAAATGCTGCCTGACATTGTTCATGCATTTACTCCCATCAAACCTACAGCCTTATGCTCCCTCAGCGACTAAATAACAAGGCATCAAAAACATGCAGTGTCTTCTAAGTTTACCCATGTTACTATTTCTTCCTCTGACTGCACAGACAGGTCAACTGGATGAGCCATTTCTTGTCATCGTCCCCCCTTACAACCACAGCTCCCCCAGGTCAACCAAAGCAGTCCTTTCAGCACAGATAACACATACAGCCAAGCTGCCTGTAGGAAATTATCACTGGCTTTTTTCTTAAACTCCAGGGTGGGAGGGATCAAAATTCAGTGAGAGTGGCATTAATTCTTCATTATACGGTTTTCTGAAGTTAGGATTTTGATAAAATTGATGTTCTGGAAGAGTAGATGTAACTACATTAATAGATAATTTCTGTTTCAGTAAGGCAAGAGACTTACTGTTTGCTTTGTTCTAGTACAAAAAAACTCGCTGATGGACTTTTGAGCAAAATATCTAGACTGAGCTCGATACTCAGCTTCACTTCTGCATAATGGAATTAACAGCAGAATTATTCACTGCTTCTCTGATCAATGGTTTGATTTCTAAATTCATTTGAGTATTAACAGCCTCTGGGTTATCACAATTCTTACATGACTGTGTAAATATTTAATAGTCAGTGATAGTTCCTTGAAAAGAGGATAATTTTCACTTGTTTTAGCAAGGAATCACTATTACTAGAATTTTTCCTCTCCCCATTAACTGAAGGGTTCATTGTCCTCTTGGCTGTGATCTCAGTGCAGATCTCACTGCACCTTTTAAATTTAGGTCATCAGATTACAAGATTGGTGCCTTGGTGTGGCTGAGGTGCCCTTCTTTTAAATATATAGTACTGCTATTGGATTCAAGGGGCACAGTAGAGTAGCACTGAGCACACTAAATATCTCCCCTCTGAGCAGTTATTTTTTTCATTTAGACTATCAGACTATTTTTCAGATGCCAAATTAGATTAGATTTCACTCTGACACTTTAAACCAGTGTCAGAAGAACTTCTGCCTACGTCCTGCAAGTTCAATCATGCAGTTGTGCAACTGACAGTGGACCATCATTATTTTTAATTTATTACTTCAGAGCTTTTTTTTTTGTTTCTCAAAGCATAAATCCCTATTTCTGTCCACACAGGATTACAAAGCATCGGTACAAACTGAATGTTTGTTTGGTACATTATTCTCTGGAGGCAGATACGCACCTAAATACCCAATGATACATGACAGGGGTTTTCTGGTGCTTTTAATCTTCAGAGGATTTCCAGCAAGTTCACAATGTCGATCTGCATCTGAGAATTTTAAAGAACAAAACTCAGTTTAATTTTTTTACCATTACAAATAGAATTAGGACACACCAACCACTTTCTGTCTTGCATTTTTGACACAAATTTCTCTTTTCCTTTTAGCCCATATTGACCTTTTTTTAAATCAATACTTATAATGATGGATATTTAAAGGCAGGATGTGTTCTCATTCATGCAAGTGATCTTATGATTATTCTTTTTTTTTTTTAAAAAAAGTTAATGTAAGTTTTACCACCATTTTGATTGCATTTTTTGCTTACAAAGCAAATAAAAAGCCAGCTAGGCAAATGAAACACAGATGAAAGCATGAGCACTAAATGAAATGCAGCTCTGGCTATTAAAAGTAATTTACATTGAATTCTTTATTGTTTTTTACAAGCTTCTTTGTCTCTAAATGGGGTAATAGAGAGGTAAGGATTTAAAGCTGGCACTACTGACTTGTCATGTCTTACTTGCATAATGGTGATTCATATAATGCTTAATAAGTAAAATGGAACTAAGGGGTTATCACGGCTTGAGGCAAAAACAACCAACCAACCAAAGCAACTCCTTCATGGTAAACTTTTGAACAAAGTGGCCAGTTGAAACCAAGTATTGTAAAGCTCAAAGGTCTCAAAGATTGTAACTTTCTCAAAGATTGTAACTTTCTGCAAATTACATGAAAACTAACAGTGCAGTAACTGCCTTAAATTTCATGCTACTGCTATGAACTCACACCTCTAAAGGCACTCTGAATACACAAGCAGAGGTTCCATGTTTGTCCCAAACATAAAGTGTTACTATGAAGAGGTTCATGTTTAGACAGTGAAGTCAATCAGCTTAAGGCAAAAATTTACAAGGCACTAGGTTTCAGCAAATAGTTCCAAAACTACTGGAAATATATTAACAAAACTGCACTCCTACCCACCTGTACTCCTTTCTTTCTACAGGTTTCACACATGCAGATCTGCATTTCCTTTACAGGAGGTACACATTATAAATAGATTATAATCACAAATCCACCCTGTGTTTTATCAGACTGCTCATGTTTCCTTCATTCCAGCACATGAGATGGAGTACACAGTCACAGGAAGAAGATAAGACACTATGTAGAATTATTTATAATCTTATATTTTATGGAGCTCTGTGCAAAAACCATGAAGGTTCTGAATCCATAGACAATTACTGAAATAAATATTTCACATGTTCAGAGATGTTTTCAGTGCAGCAGACAATGCACAGCTTACTTCAATATATGTGGAAAACTACTTGAAATTCTGGAAATGCCAACTGGTATTTGGGCAGCCCAAAGCTTCCAGAGCCTTAATGCTGAGTACACGAAGCACTTTATTATTTTCTCTAAATAACAAAATATACTGTTACATAGGGGGAAAAAATGCACAAACCTGGTGCCTTGAATATTTTTAATATTCTGCAACACCTGAAGTATTTTAAGTGACAGGGTAGAACAGTGTCTCTCCACTGACTCCCTCAGTAAAACAAGCACAGGCTATACAGTATTTTATAGTTACTTTGAGAATACCAAAGAATTGCCTAAGAAGTAATCAGCAGGAACATTTTCCATCTACGTGTCTTCACTGTAAAAAAAGACATTAAATCCTGGAGATGTATTAATATGGTAACTGGGAATACAGACTGCAAAGACAGCACAATTTCCATGTTTGAGGTAAAGCACATTCACCAAAGGTGAGTATTACAGAGTACACCTATCTATTAAAGCTGTTAAGTATTTTTAACAGCAGCAAACTTTGATCCACAATACTTTGTACTCCCATACAAAGTGCAATAAAGTTTATGATCTCTAGGCACAACACACAGAAAACCACAGAAGTTAGGTTGTGCATCAATTTCAAGTGTAAAACCATTGAATAAAAAACAAGTCCTAAAATCAAATATGAGCATCCACATGCAATAAAATTCTAAGATCAGTGAAACAGTGGAAGCTAAGAGAAAAATTGTGTTTATTAAAAAAGAAGTATTATATTTCATAGTGTATTTTTCAAACATAGCAAAAGCAGAAAATGTGCTAGTGCCTGTAGCAAAAGGTGATGAACGTGTGAGGAAAATCTTCAGGAAATACAAAGGCACAGCAGAAAAGCTGAATGCATTCCTTGCATCAGCATTCACTACAGAAGCACTTAAAGATCACTTCCAAAATAATTTTATGAGGAAAGTATGAGAACTGTGTCACAACAAAGACTCCATAGGAAATATTTCAAACGAATGGGTTAATGAATAAAAACAAGTTACCAGGACCAGGTGGAATTCTGCTGAGGACATATGCTGCTGGTGTTTAATGAATGCTTAAACAGTCTTGATTCAAGAGAACAAAAACAGGGCAAATGCGATAACATTCTTCACTAAGTAGGTCTGCAGAGCGGCAAAAGGGTTGCACTATTAATAGAGGCACACAGTTAAATATGGAAACATCAAGGGAGCCAACAAAGACCTTGCAGAGGGGAAAACACGTTTAGTGTGCTCTCATGACTCAGTGTTGTGTCCTTGCCACAAGAAGGACAGCGCACGGGAGCTTATGAGCACACGCACACCCAGCACTGCCACGGATGTCACCTGTGCCCTCAGCCCATGTGAAACAACAGCCAGACTCCATGCTGAGTTCTGGGATCCCCACTACATAAGATATATGGACACACTGGACCACATTCATCTGCTGGAGAGTCCCCAGACTGGTTGGAAGCTGGAGTACAGGACATACGCAGAGTCCAAGGGACTGGGTCTGGTCAGCCTTGGGACAAGAAGCATGAGGGGAGATGTGACTGCCCCCGGAACCTCCTAGCAGTGGAGCAGAGAGACACCAAACCAGACCCTTCTCAGAGGAAAGCAGGGATAGGATAACCTATCACTGCTCTCTGTGGCAGCAGCTACAAGCTGGGAGACAGGAGATTATTAGACTTCAGGAAAAAATTATTTACCCAGAGATTGATCAAACACTGGAACAGGTGCCCAGAGAAGTTGCACAGTCTCCATCCTTGGAGATACAAAACGCTCATCCGGACAAAAGGTTCACGAGCACATGAACTTTATGCAAGAGGTGGGATTAGAGACCTCCAGGGGTCCCCTCCTACGTACAGCATAGTCCTATAAACCAGTAACTGCCAGGGTCATAAGTTTGCCAGGATCCTCTGAAGGGATCGTGACATGTACACATGCAGCTGATCTGGCATCCAACTTGGCATTTCAATGAGCTTTTAACAAACTCTGTCACCAAAGACCTCTGCTGCCCAGATGTTACAGGGTAAAAGTTCATTTTCAGGGATTGGAACCTTATTAAAATTAACTGTCTATGTAATCCCCAAAGGATCTGTGCTGTTCAACATAAAAAACATCTGGAAAAGAGGTGATTAGAGAGTTAAAATTTCCTGATAAGAAGTTTCTGAGCATAATCAAAGCTAAAACTGATTGCAAAGGATATCATCAGCATAAAACACCACATGTAAATTAATTCTTAAGGGGTAAAATGCCTGTAACACACACACATAATGATGGGTTCTACACCATCACCAAGCAGAAGAGAATTTATGAAGTCAGTACTCTCTAAAATTATGAGAAACCTGTATCTTGAAGTGCACATAATTTGGGGCACCATAACCTAAAGAAGATACAGTACTACTAGAAAAACTCCAGGAAACAACATTACAAACCACAGTGTGAAACATTCTTAATGAGGTTTTGAACAGACCAAGTTCTTGACCTGGAAAAGTGATGACTATTGTGGGTATTACAGAGGCGAATGAAATCATGAATGCTTTGAAGAAGATGATATCAAATGAGGTTGTGTTTTTAGATCTGAAAGTACTTTTTTAATGATTCCCTTTTTTCAAACTGATTTGTAGGTCTCTTAGACTCTCATTGTCAAGTTATTCGTCTCTGACATTTCATCATCCCTCTATCAAAATTCCAATTATCTAATGAATGTACTGTGCCCTCTGTATTCCCTGAATTGTATTCTTCTTAGAAACTTTGGGGGAAAAATAGTGTGCTCTTTCCATTATTTTTCTGGATAGTAAAATGTGGCACAAATTGTACTCAAAGATAATGGAGGAAAATATTTTCATCCTAGATGCAGCCAAAAACTCTTCTGCAGCTATCAAAATCAAATCACAGTTTGTGAAAGAATATCCATAAATGTTACTCACTTCAGATGAATGGGTAGTTTTATGTCAGTAAAATATAAGCTCTATGCTAACAAAGTCAAATCAGTAACATTTTGCATATTCTACCTAGTTTCGACTTGTCTTTGTTTCATCAAATGAGATCACAAGAAAGTCCTGTGTACGAAAATTGTTAATAAATCTGAAGATTCAAAGGTATGATAAGTTTTCATCATGAGCAGTATATCCATTCCCCAGTAACAATATATATTATACAGGCAATATATTACCAGGCACTGAAAACATTTCGACAATCATGTCTACACAGACAGCATGTAGTTATCCAGATTTAACTTGCTATAATTAATACATATATCTATATTGATAAAGCTATATCCAAACAGTGGAATAAAACAATCCATCAAAATATCCCTGTGCTGAAGTAAAAATGCTTGCAGACACATGGCTCACTGCCAGCCATTCATCAACCTGCTTGTAAGCTGGGAACAGATCCAATCTTGCCAGTGACTGTCGAGAAGAATGCCCACTTTGCTTTCGTCTAATGAAGAGACCTTCCACAGACGGGACAGTTTTGCTTCACATTCTAAAAAACAGGCAATATATTCAACCTAAAAGGTAGGTAGTGCATGAGATTTAAAGCCTTAGAATTTCCTCTTACCAAAGCAGTTCACCAATTCTAATTATTCCTGAAAATCCATCAGACAAGTTTATTGTCAACAACTCCAGAGAGTCGATTATGTTCAGGCAGAACAAAGTTCGAAGTTTCCATGACGGGTTGTGCTCCCAGCAGGAGGTGTTGTGACTTCTCAACCTCCTGGTGGCCATTCCTAGATTCAGCTGGGAAGTAAATGCACCATCACCACCACTTCCTGCTGGCATCTGAGCAGAGGTCATGCTATAGGGTTCATTATTGAGAAAAATCTGATTCTCTACACTAACCAAAGGAATAAAGAACACCAAGTCGGACCTTGTTTTCTGCCAGTGGATATAATGGGCTGAGCAAGCTGATGTGGGTGGAATTACAATAATAGAAAATGTTCTGTCGAAATCTGGTTTTGCCTAAAAGATGGTTGGGCCTGAGGTTAGCGTTCTCAGACGCTTTCATGCTCCTCTGAGACAACAGAAGTATCTGCAGATGCATTCGGGTGGAATGCAAAAACCTATCTATTTTATGAGTAAGTTTTGACATGCTGGTTCAGTCAGTCTTCCTCAGAACTGGGAATCAGTTTCATTTACAACCTGGCACTTCAACAAATTACACAAGAGCAAGGGGGCATAAAACCTGTTACACTGCTGGCATAAGTGCCCTACCAATCCTTCCATCGTCAGGTTTTATGGTTTCTTGGTGTTGTTATAGTGCCTAATGCAATAAAGTTGTGAAACACAGTTACAGTTTCAAGAACTGGTTTGGCACACACAAAGCATCAGGTGAGTCTGACATAGCACGTAATCAGCCATTAGATTCAAGTTTCAGCACACCAACAACTTGGAAAACAAATTCCAAATCATGTCTTGAACGTCCTAACACCATCTCATGACATATCACATCATGAGTGACCTGCTACTCTGGCCACGTTATTATCTAAGCATATCTGTAACTTTATCTGTAACTTACAGATATTCATTCAATATTGTAACTACTCCTCCGATTCAGCATAGGAGATAATTTCTGTTAATTTAGTATCTCATTTAAAAATTTAAATTTAAATTACTTGCTTCAAGATAACCTTAGAAAAAGATTCAGGGCATTCTTAGGAAAAGAGAGACTATTTAGTTCTAACATTAAAATCTACAGAGTGCATTGAGCAGAGGTCACCAGATCTAAGTACAGGAATAAAACTACAAAACCTTTTTTTTTTTTTTACTTACTTATTAATCTTTACTAGACAAGAATATGGCAATGACAATGCAGGTAAGAACACTGTAATTATTCCAGAGAGAGAGATTGCCAGAAACAGAATGTGTGTGTGTGTGTGTGTGTGCGCATATCTCTGTGTGTGTGTGCATATCTCTGTGTGTGTACAGAGAAAAGTGAGTTATTGCAGTTGAGGTATAATCTGGTTTCTACCATTAGAGAATTATTTTGATGTTGTATTCAAAAAGCCCTGGCAAGTGTGACTTTTTTTTTTCTTCAGTCTATGTTAGGTCTAATCAGGAAGCATCAGAATTCAAAAAGACAAATTGCAAGGTCCAAAAATTGCTTTAAGCAAAAAGAATTATGAAAGACAGAGATTACAGGTAAAAAAAAAAAAATCTTTCTGCTCACTGTCAATTTGATGTGGCACTTTTTCACTCTAAGAAACAAAGAGGAAGCACTCGCAGCAATGCCAGTCTGATACAAGAACGTTTCCCCCTGAAAAGCTCAGCTTTTCACTCCTCTCTTTAAAAGCTGAACTGTGTATTTAACATTTGTTCTAATATGATGACTAACCATTGAATGAAACCCTTTTCATCTATTTTTTTCTCCTCCTTAACCAAAGATTTCTTCTTCTTTTGAATTCTGTTACTGCAGTAGGTGAGAAGAAATAGGCATATGGACAAAAAGAATCAAGGTTCAAGTGAAATTAGAAGTTTTCCCCCAAGCTTCAGAATAAACAGAAATTTAAAGGTATAATACTTCCCTCTCCCAAAGTAACTTTTACTTTGGATTGAGAATTAAAAATATAATCCTACTCCACCCTCCACACTTCTTCCATGAGGTACAACTCATTTTATTCACACAGTGGACACACAGTTTCCTTAAATCTGGAAGTTGCTCCTGACTTGCATAGGTTTAAAAGAAGAAAGAAAATGGTCAAAAGGACAACTAAAAAATTAGACAAGGACAATGAACAAAAATATTCACCAAGCTTTGGATGCCTGTAGAAGCAGGTGAAGAGTTTGTATGTGAATAATAGCTGATGTTCAAGTACATAAAAGGAAAATAATTACTCAAAATCAAATTTTAAGCCTCCATGGAGTAGACTTCTTATAATCAACACTGACATCATCAGCATCCCAGCTAAATATGTTGGGAAAACATTTGGCATTTATCTAGTAAGCGTGGTTATAAAATTTTATATTCTAAAAAGGTCTCTTCAATTCTAATACAATTGACAGTACTATGAGCCAGGATGGCTCATCTCGGAATATCAAGCATCTGCTCCAAGAAGCGTATCTATGGAAGACTGGGACACATAACCAGACAGCGTGAACAGTAAAACAACGTGCTTAGTGCAGATACAAAAGCTGTTGAAATATTCAGTGACTTTGCAGCAGAACTAACACACATATGCACATGAGGAGACTTACTGTTGCTATCTACAATAACTCATATCCTTTTGTAATATTACTAGCAAATTCACCAGTTCTTTATATTTTTGTTATAAAAAAACCTAGCATAATACAGAATTTTATTTAAAACTAAAATTTAAAACTGGAACAGACAAAACCAAAATGATGTCGTTATGATGTAATAATAAACATGGCTATCACCACCACCTGATCATCACAGTGACAAGGGGCTGTATTACACACCACACTTAAATTCTTCACAGATTTCATAGAATATTATGAGTTGGAAGGGACACACAAAGATCACTGAGTCCAACTCTTAAGTGAATGGTCCATACAGGGATTGAACCCCAATCTTGGTTTATCAGCACCACACTCAGATCAACTGAGCTAATCCCCAGCTCCTGAGTCTTTTACCAACTCACCAAGAAAAAGTAGATGTTCAGATCTGTACTTTCTGCTCAGTGAAAGAATAAATGAACAATACAAAAGCAAACTTCTTTCACAATGCCTAGCAGGAAGTATGTTTTTTTATGTCATGGCATTGATTTCCCCTTCCTGATCCCACTTTTTTTAATGGTAATTTTTGTAAGGGATAACAGTTTTCCCCTTTTTAATTAATTTGAAATGTTTCCCTGGCCTAAATCTGTTCAAGGCAGCAAGAAATCCAATGTGTAGGTGATATGCTGGACAAATGAAAAAAAAAAAAAAGTGAAAAGCAAAAGTGTATAGACAAGAAATGTTTATTGAAAAAGAAAATAAAATTAAAAGACAAAAATGGGTGGAGAGCACAGCACACAGAACTAAGAATTAAAAAAACATCTTACATTCTGCCTTAATGGCAGCACAGTTAATAGGGACAAAGGGACGTCTTGCTGCCTGCCGCAGCCGGAGGGTATTTTTGCAGACCTGACGGGCCAGTTTTGTCCAACACGTCGTGTGAAGAAAGAAAGCTTGACGTGTTTTCACTGCCGACTTTGGACTTCCAGTGTTACGAACTGGAGTTCCCTGTGTGGCCTGCCGGGACATGTGAGTTCTAACATGCGATTCCTACAAAAAGGAACAAAACATTTTAACAGGTACATCTGAATTACAGCATTAAAATATCCACAACTTGGACAAATTCTCAAGGTTATTAAAATAATATGCATAAGCACTATACAAAAATCTGAGGCCTATGTAGGAAGCTGTAAAACACAGAGTAGAGAACTCTATTAAGAATGGATTTATAATGCCATACCAGATGAGGTATTGCATAGTCAATTTAACATTTCATACATAACACACCATTTGATTGAGAAAATTATATTTGTCCACCAAAAATGCCTGAAGCAGATGTTTGTTTACCTAAGGCTTAGTCAAATAAAGACGTAGCAGGGCCTGCACACTTTACAGTTCTAAATAAACACAGGAAAGGGATTAAAAAAATTGAGGTTTATTCAACCAAAGTTGAACACATACATAAAAACCCCTTTTCCACTAAATACTCAAATCATAGCGGACTTGTGAAAGCCCTATGTTTCATTTTAGCAAAGTTCATCTACACAATCCTACCTCAGTAGGTTGGCTAGAAGACAGTTTATCTTCATCTGTCTGTGTAGGCATTTTCAGGCCACCATACTTCTTCCAATAAATCCAGCAAGATGCACACAACCTACATTGCATATTAGGAGGGCCCCAAGAATACCATTGGTGAGACTGTGGAGCTAAAGAAGAGAAAACAGCACAGGTGAACTGGTGCATTCACTGTAACAAATCCAAATGCTGTAATAAGTGGCTAAATATGGTCAAAATATAAGAGCATCGCATGGATAAATGTTTAATAAATTTGATATGGAGAATAAAAACTTGAATTGTTAGTTGCTTTATTTTTTACAAAAGCACCACAGAAGTCAACTCCAAATGGAAATTTTGGAAATGCTCATGTCATGCAAATTGAATACTTGTAAGTCAAGATCTACATTTGAAAAGGATAAGGACATCCTTTATTGACCTTGAAGACGCGTATGTATTTTTACCTTGTGCATGTGGAGATCCAGGACACACTAAATTAACCTTTTCTCTTTTCTTTTTGTAATCTTTCATAAGAAAACTATTCTTTAAAAAATATGATTTGAAAAACAACTAAGTATAGAACTGGAAGCTTCTATATACAAAATATGTTTTTAATTTAATTGTTGTTTAAGAAATGGGCAGCTGTAGGAATGATAAGCAAAGAACTCTTATACTGCAGGCCTTTTAAATTCTTTCCCTTTCTGGATTTTATTATATCTCATTTTCACAAAACCTCTGTTGAAGGCTGCTATTTCAAGAATTATCAGAAATGCAAAAAATACTAGAAAAAACGAACATACCCTCCCCCCCTGCCCCCCAACAACCACAAAGGGGGGAAAGATACCTCAAAACCAACCAACCAAAAAAAACCAAGCTCAAAACCCCTTCATGCTTACAGAAAAAAACAAAAATTAACTTGAATCTAGCATTCTGAAGGTAAAGGAATAATATATCAATGCCATCATATTTATAACAATCTTTCTGTACTTTGTGAATTGTTAAAAGAAAAAAAAAGTAGATCTGAATATCGACATTTAATTAATATACTGAAAGTAGCTATAATTTTAAAGTTATTTCTGCTACAGAAGTAATTGGAACTTATCCTCTATACCATGCAAATAAAAGCACATGCACTTGTTTTAAAAAACAGCACATATCAAAGTTAACCCAAACTCTTGAATTATTAAATTAAAAATATTCACTTACTATAGCAGCTTTCACAAGCCCGACCTATTACTGAGCCCTGTGCCTGGTAAGAGGCTCCCATTGCTCCATTGACTGCAGCAGGTTTCCCATTGTTGCTGGATATTTGATTGGGATTTGGTTTATTGCTTTAAATAAAAATAAATGAAAAAAAAAAAGGGTGATTTTACTAACTGGTTAGTCAACATGAAAACAAGCAGTATAATTCTGTAATTCTGATGTCTGTTGACACATGTATAAAATCTGCTCTAAACAAGATTAATTTTTGTGCTCCTCTAGTATTTTCAGAGACCTAATATGTAAGAGCTGCTTTGATACTCCAGTTTACAGATCTTTAGTGTGCTCCCATGTTTTAAGCTACTTCACAAGCTAGCAAAAGACCAAGCGTCAGGGTCAAACCATTCACAAAATCTGACCCATCACAGAATTTAGGAAGGTGCTTCTAGTCAAAAGATAAGGCTTTAAAAGTTGAGGCTGGACTTTGGACAAAGTATAGTAAGCAAGAGCAGTAACACTGCCTATAATATGACAAGGCTGTCCACCCCAGAAGAGGGTCAAAGAACTTCCTGTTTCAAGTACAGTATTTTCAAAGCTTCAACTGTGTGCATGTTAATTACTCTCAATATAATGCAAGGCTGGATACATTGACTCCTAAGATGATTAACTGTTATTTTAGGTAACATAAAATATATTCAAGATTAGTTAAAATGACTAACTGAAGAAACCTTTCCTGTGTCAAGTCTCTATTTCAAATACCAACATGTCTGTCTCCTGCCTTCTCTTTTTTCACTATATCCAGCAAGAGACACTTTTACAATTTCCACATACTCTTTATCAAGTACCTTGGGCTCAAGGTACAAGAGAAGGGATCAAGAGACAATTAAGTCTCACACATGATCTGTTGCTTAGTTACCTTCCAGAAAAGCCAAGAATCGAAAGGTATTGAGCACGGAACCTCGCGTTTACAGGAAATACTTTATGATCAAGTTCAAAAAGGTACTCAGCTCTGAGAATCAATTCTACTCAGATTTCAAATGCAATAAATCAGCCTTGAAACAGTGTTAGTGATCCACCACCCCAGATTGCACAGTTAACAATAGACATGAGGAGTCCTACCACCCTCTTACTGTAGACTAGGGATTTTGCCTTGAAATGGAGGCAAAAGACAGGTAGCAAGATAAAAACTCAAAACTCCATCATTTCAAAACACGCTTTGTCATCCAATACAGCTAGTCCCTACAGTGAACATATTGGTGAAAATCTTGAATTGCCTACACAGACCAAGGAAATTAAATTGAAAAAGCATTATGCAAAGACTGAGCACCATATGGTTTTCCTAAAGCAGCCACTTCTCTGAGAGGTTGTGGAACACTCATACTAGAGTTTTCAGCTCTCTTTTTAAAAAGTGCCACTTATTAGAGATGTGAGCTTCAAAACTCACAAAATTTCTTCAGACATGAGGCTAAACCAGTGAATTTAACAGTCTGCTGTTAGCATTATTACATCTTTTTTGGGAGAGAAAAGTCTGTATGAAATATGGAAATGAAGCTCTATTGTATGCAATTTATACAAGTCACCAAAAGCCTTGCAAAGTACTTTCTTTGGTATTCCAGTCTTCTGTTATACAAACACTCATAACAGGAACTTTGCATATATGTAAACTGAATATATCCACAGAAAGCTTAAAAAAATGTCAACTGTAATCTTTTCTCTTCTTATAATCTTGAGGAAATTATGAATATGAAAGAGGGATTATATATCTTGTTTCTGTAAACTACATGTTAACAAAAGCAGATATAGCATCGACTTTAAACCTAAAAAAACCCAGACTGAATACCCCTCAGAAAAAAAACAAGATTGCATTAATAGGATTTGTTCAAAGGTGAAAGACTTGGGGCTGTGTGCTACCTCTAATTTACAGAACATCTCTTGCCTCTAGCTGAAGAATAGACTTTATTCACAAGACAAAACTGTAATGGGAAATTATTTGATTTAATTTTGTTTTATGTAACTACTTTAACAACTGCTTCTCTTTTGAAATATTGCATTTACAGAAATATGAAGTATTTACACATATATGAAGTTACAGGGATTTGGAAGAGACTATTCTGGAAAAAAATGTTCTTTAAACAATAGGGCTCTCCTTGCTTGTGAGTAGTCCACAGATAGCACTTGATCACCTTTTGTAAAACTTCTCAGCATTCCAGACAGGCAGTTTACAGGTCATGGACAAATGGCTCAGTTAGATATGAAGGTGTCACTTAAGATAAGAATTTCTACCATTATATCTCCGTATATAACAATGAAAGTAACCATTATAAAAATAACTATGAAACTACCATGCATGTAACACCATGTTACAGTTTCGATTTTACCTGTATATTATTCAAAAAAAAAGACTTTGTTGTTATACTCACTAGGTGGGGATGTATACTTGTTTCAGTTTACTTTCTGCTTCAGCTGCTTTCAGACGTTTCTAGTTGAAAAATTAACACATTAAAATATTTTCTTATATTAAAGCATGAGATTTCATAATACTGTACACAATCCACCTTGAAATTATTTCTATTTTTTGATTTCACAAGAGCCTCCAAAACAAGTGCAGAAATCTACAAGATGAAAACCATGAAAAACAAAGTTTTCTATTTTTATTATTAATTTGAAATTATACTATACTGTCCTTTCCAGTAAAACTCACAGATCCCACATATGACAACAAAACTGTAAAAACAATAACTACCATTTATATAAATTACATCTACATAAACATGTACAACCATGTGGCTAACCTTCATTGCAGAATTAAGTAGAAAATAAATGAATGAAATTGCACACGATGAGTTCCTCATCAGTTATGTACCTCAATACTTCCTGTGCACTCTGTCCAGCCTGAGGCTGGTATTTTATAAGGAACAGTAAAGTCCACTGATTGTTAGAAATAACTAAATACCTACTTTTGTTAAATGCCATTAAAACTGTGGCTTGGGTACATCACAGTACTAGGACAGCTATGCTACTGCCAAGATAGTATGTGAATTTACTAAATAATTATGTTCTTCATACTTGCAATGAAGTCAAATCACCTTGTAGGTAGTCCTACTAACCTTAAAAATGTTGAGAAGCTTTAATTATTACCATATATTATACAGGTAACTAAGACGGTATTTGTTTTCAGCAATGGCACAAGCAAAACAGGTGTCAGATGTCTACAGGTCTGTCTATACATAAAAGATCAAGGTTTGTCTATACATAAAAGATCAAGAAAAAACATTATTTCCCTGCACTCAGACATTACTTCTGTTCCCTTGAAAAAAAATTAGGGAAAGAAGTTGAAACGTGGTCAATTATATTACAGAGGATGAAAAAAGGGGGAGACAGCCAATTAAATCAATACCACCTGACTTTCTTTATCATGTAATTAAAATTCAATTTTTCATTTCTCCTCTCTACCAGTTCTCTCTTTCATTTCTCCTCTCTGCCAATCCTCTTCTCTGCTATACACCTACTTTCTGATATCCAGTCTTTGCAAGGCTTATAATCCAGAAGAATATTTCCCACCTTGGGAACAGTATCATCAGACGACTCTGCTCTGAGTCTCTTGCCTGAGTGAGTTACAGGGTTAATCAGCTTTACTGGTCCAATAGTCTGAGTAAACCTCCCCGTGTAACCTGCTGTTCTTTTCCATTTTGGAAACTTGCCTCTGTGTTGTCCACTGACAAAACTCTCATTTATAAAAACTGCACCTTTAAGGAGCAATGTATGACAAATAGACTTCTAAGCAGTCCATGCCACAATTAATTAATTCCCATGCAACATAGAGCCCTTTTCTGTTTATCTCCAAAATAGGCTTCCCAGCTTCCCTCACTTTTTTTTTTTATAGCAGTTTGTTGCCATCCACAGGTGCCTGGTTGTGTTTGGAGCTACAGAAGTGAATTCCAATAATACTGCTGGTGCAGTTGCAGCTTTCCCCAGAGCCAGGCAAGGCAACACTTTTTACCTTCAACAGGCCCATAGCAAAAATGCAAACATAGTCTGCTCTGCCTGCAGAGGATGTCTCAACGGTGAACTCTCTCTCTGCTTCACAGCGAGCCACAGACTTTCCACAACTATCTCACTTTCCTTTTCATATTATACCCAACAACACAGAATTTGTTTTCAGCTTGAAAAAGCATGCAAAACCGCCAGTCAGCAGGTAACACACGTTCCACAGGGGATCCTAACTGTTTCCATTCTACAAAAAGAACGGGTAAATCTCATTGCACACCAAGCAGGAGCAAAAGAGGAAAACACAACAAAGGGAGAGAAACAAGGAAAGTAGCCCCAAAGCACTGTCAAAACGTAAAGGTTGTATGTAGGAAGCTTTATTAAGCCCTGATGGCAGTGTCAGTGAGAAGTGATTATATACACATTAGTTAAATTTTAGTATATTTTTAGTATTGGTATGGGGGATTGTAAGGAATGCAATTTAACAACTGCTTTCCTCCTTTATTTACTAAAGCAAATGACAAGGTGCCTTCTAAAAAAAGTCATACAATGCCATTTCAGTACAACCTATATTTTTTTACGTTAAAACTATGGCTATCATTGCTCTCTAAAAGCAATGGAACATGTCACAGCTTGAATTCACACTGACCTATCAACTTTTAAGTACCAAGAGAGAAGAAAGGATGCAAAAAGAAAGCTATCAACAGCTGCAGTTTCTGAGATGAAACTCCTGCCTGTTGAAATTTAGAGGATGAACACTCGTAAAGGTTGGAAGTTGAAACTGAAAACATTTAGACAAGAAACAAAGAACCAGTTTGTAACAAATCACTGGAGCAATGTAACAAATTGAGCTGATGCTTTACCTGGAAAAAAAAATGAATTACATCTTCAACAGTATCCCAACAGGTCTTACAGATCACATTTTAGGTGAGGTCAAACTACACTAACCCAGCTTTTTACCTGGGGTCTACTACTTTTAATCAATTAACATTGAAACTGAGTGTTTGTGTTTTTTAAGGACTTTTGTTATGAGTATCAACTTAAAAATACCCCAAGAACGGACCATTTCCATCTATGGCAGGATGTTGTGCATTTATTTAGTTACAAGTAAAACACAGGCATTTACAAGAGCATTCAAGTTGCAGATAACCAACCATAAAGCCCATGTGCTTTTCTTGTATAGAACCTAATCCCGTGAAAGGACATGCAATCTCAACACATCCCACACCTTGATCATTGTGGCAACAGATTCATAACAGAGCCCTAGAGAACTAAAAAGGGCATCTTAGTCTTTTGCCAACCACTCCAGAGCAAGTATTCCAGGAAAAAATTACAGGAAACAAGATCAGTCTCTGAGCAACCTAAGAGTGTTGACAAAAGACAATTTGCGCTTCATTTTATCCTTAGTCCATGGCTTTCAGTATGGATAAAATCTTTTTATCTGATTCTTAAAGATGATCTCTTGTGCAATCCTTAAGAGCTGACAAGCACAGCAAATCTCTGCTGGCAGTACCTTTCTAGGACAAAAATCAACAGTGCAAAAAAAGTGTTAATAGTGAAATGAATGGTGACAAACACAGAAAAATATGCTTTTATATAGAACATATTATTTGCTATTTGTATTATCCATAGAACTAAAAGGTCCTCACAATAGTCCAAGACTCTCCTATGTGGTAAAAGACTTTTACCCTTCTTTCCATACACTGACAAGTTGATGTAGAAACACTTTTCAAATAAACTTGAACAACCTCAAGCAATCATCCTTCTGATACACTTAATCAACAACTCCAAAAATCCATCTAACAGTACAGCTGTAGTTATTAGAGCAAAAAAAAAGTATTTTCAACACACTGTACATAACATTGCATGTAATCATGCAGCAAATAAATGAGCTACAAAATTAAACATTAAATCAGAAATTAAAATGGAATACTTTAAAATATTTTATATGTCTAAATCAAGGAGTAAATATAGAAAGTACAATATACAAAAAGCACCAACACTGAAATTTTGCCTAAACCTGCTAAAAATATCAATATTTATCAATAGTATTGGTACTCAATATAAACTTATGTTTCTTCTCCAGAGCAACCCAAACAGTTGAACATTCAATAGAAGGATGAACACCTCCACCGTGTGCAGAATGGTCTCAATTTTGGTTTTAAATGCTGGCAATGCCAAAGTAATGTTTTATCAGGAAGTATCAATAATGGGTTCATAACAGTAGCAGCCACTTTAACGCAAAGTATTTTCCCTTTTCCTTCAGTGCCATAGCAGAGCTTCACAGACTAAACCATTTACTCTGTAGCCCATTTCCTTCTTATCCCATGCTGCAATAAGAACCAGGAATCCTATTACTTCAAACCAGCACACAATACAAATGGCTTAGAAAGCTCTTCACAGGTATGTGACAAACAGCACAGAACCACCGGTCTATATCTCAAAACGTTATCATAGGCCTCTCCCATATTTCTTTTTAAAAACACAAACAGATTTTTATGCTCTAACGTTATCACATTTTTTAAAGACTGGTTCATGCTGAAATAGTTATTAAATTACCTGCTGCACATATCTGTCAGTGGTTTTCCACATGTAGTAATACTCAATGATGCTAGTCAGTGACTTCCAAGGGAGCTGAAAAACATTTGTTACAGATTAAAGCGGTTCCAAAAATTTCAATGTCCACATCTTATTAAACACATGTTAAAATCAAATATAGTTGAGACAAATGCTAAATCCTGAATGTATTAAATAGCTACATTAAAATCCATATGCAAACAAATATATTGCTATTAATAATACACAACCTTTCCTTATAGTTAAGAAGTATGCAGAATTACAATATCACACATCTAAATGTAAGTTATTCTGTGTAAGCCCTATGGTTGAACAAAATGATTAAAACAGACTTCCATGAGGAAACACAGAAGGTAATGTCTTTGTTATAAAGTGTATTAGATGCAGAACAACATTAGGACTAAAAGAAATCATCTTGACAAGACTTTGTTCAAGTCTCATGTATTTTTTCTCTTAAAAAATACAAAGGATGCAAGACTTAGATCATAGGTTTTACAAGTCCCATAACAACTCAGCCACTCATACAATACCACTAGTTTTGCATAAATCCCCACATACTCTTGACCATTATCAAGAAACAAAGGGATGTGAGGGACGTGTTACCCTAAGTAACAAGAGTGGTACTGACGATATTTCACAAACATTTTTGTGCATGTGATAATGACAATTATTTTGGATGCACATATTCATTGGTAAAATAAAAATGCATTAAGCTATGTTTCGGGGAGAAAATTAAGCCACCATTTTTAACTACCATCAAATAAACTATTCAACTCCTTAACGACTTTCTATAATTGAAATTAGTACTTGCCTTACAAAATTCATGCATTTTTTCTTCATAACTTGGAAACATGTTACTAATTTGTATGTGATATTTTCTAGAGGAATGTGTTAGTGCTAATACGCTGTGCTTTCTAGAAATGAGAATGATGTTTAGGAAGTTCCAGAAAGTTCTGGTGTGGAAACTTATCTTTCCAACCTTACTCACTCCACTTTGAGGCTTTCTGCATGTCTTAAGCCAAAAGAATAGCTTTCTGCACCTTTAGTTGAATTCCTAAAACAGCAGAGGAACACCTTATCAAGCTGCTTCTCCCTGCACACAGGAGCTCAGAGCTAGTTTTTCATGCTGCTTGCTTGCAGGCACTTAAGAGGAACTGAGTCTGGCTCCCACCTCTGCCTTTCAGGAAATGGGATTTATGCTCAGACTCAGCTGTGATTTCTTTCTCAGACAGTGTGCCACAGTGTGTAAATCCCTGAATATTTGCATGTAATTCAAAAGTAACAGTGTAAGAAATGCATATGCTGATGTTCTAAAAAACAGCAACACAATTCAGTTTCCTAAAATCCTTTTTCCTCTCTCAGGTAAATTATGCCTTAAGAGAAATCTACCCAAAAAAAGGCCAGCGACAAGAACACATTTGGTGTGGGGTGACAGATGAATTGATTCTTAGCCTCTAGGTCCATATTCTTCCTGGCATCCAGATGAAAAGCTGCCACCCGAACTACCTGCCACTGTCAATTAGTACATTTTAGCATATCCATATTTATTTTCCATCCTGAACACTTATGAATGACTTCATGCTACAGATTATCCTTGCCATTTCTCTAGAAAATACTTTAATCTGTTTTAACTATGATTGTGACACCAATATGTTCATTCACTCGGTAGGCATCTATAAATAAAGAAAGATAATTCAGGTGCTTGGAGTGAATAACTGTAATCCTTTTATACTTTGATTCACAACTTTTTTACACTTGGATTCAGAACTTAAAAAACCTGTTTGACAGAATGAGCATGGATAACCTCTATTCCATTTACCTCTGGACTTAATCTTCTGAACTGCCAATGAAGCTGTGAACAGCCACAGAATAATGTATACTCATTACCAAATTCTATATTTGAAAGAAGCAAATATGCTCATCTGTGTGACATTTTTGCAGGAGGAAATCAGGAAAAAGTATCAACTCTACAAAAACAGAGAGAAGAGAGTTTTAAGTTTCTTTAGTTTCTCCAGGGTAAGAATGGACCACTCAAACCAGACAAGTAAGAAAAATTTAGGATTATAAAGCATCCTAAAATGAACATAGTAATTTTAAGGCATGTTTCCACACTTTTCTGAAGCTGGAAAACAGTTGCTCCTGCTTTCTATAAACAGTTCCAAGTCTTGATTATCAAGGCCTATAGTTATAAATTTGTGAAAACTGCTGATAATGAAAAACTAAGAATTAACAAGCATAACAGCTGTGTCTTATTGTTAGGAAAATAGTTATACTTGGAGAACATAAAATATTCATTCTTCTTCCATTCTACTACCCTGGGATGTGAAATAATTCAAGTACATCAAGTAAATTGAATTAGCTTATAAAGTTTAGGTTGATTAGAATTCAGACAGTCTTAAAGCCAGCAGAACCTTTCTTAAAAAAGTCGATGAGTCAACAGCTGATGAAAATGATTATTCAAAGGCTAGACTGGTAATTTGATTACAAATTAGCTTCTCCCGTCTATTAAAAAAAGGTAAACTCCCTTACACCATTTAATTTATAATAATTATCTTGCTTACTAAATATTTAGTGTTTATAGCTTAATACTTGAACTGCACATTGAACATCAAATAGTGCCAGTGCTTACTAATTGCTGGAAAAGTAAATGAACCTGCCCTTTACAGAACTATCACGTATGGGCTGCAATTGCAGCTGCCATGTCTTGCAAATCTGGTCCGACTCACAAAAGGCAGCTCCTCTGGGATATAATGACTCAGGCAGGTAGCACATAACCCTTCTGCTCCAGGAGACTGCTACCAACCACTTTCTGCCATACAACGTGACAGTGTTGCCTGTACTGTGGCATCACATGCCTAGGTTTGAATTTAATCTCCAGCAGTGCAGACTTTAATTTTATCATTAGATCCTATGGGGATCAAACAAGCTCACACTTAACTATCAGTGCATTATCTTCTATGTCCTTTCTCTTACAACACATCTAAGAGTTCTTAAACTTAGCAATGACTTGCCACTGAAGAGAGGGATGATAATAGATAAATGTACTATTCTGGAAAATCACTGCTTAAGTGCTACATATTTATACCTACCTAACCTTGCAGACACTTTTCCATGATCTAAATCTCGAAGGACTATTTTCAATGATTACTTAAAACCCAAATGTGTTTTCAAATCCCTGTACTTTTAGAACGCTACATGGGAAGTAAGAACAGATAAATTTTACTCTAGAGAAACTAAGATATCCCAAGACTACACAATGATAAACATAATTGAAAGATTTCAAATTACATAGAATAAAATTACATCAAGACTGCAGTGTTACCAGTATCATATAAATTGATATAAAAAATAGATGTCATAATTATGTTTTAAAAATGACACTCTTCCAAAGATTAAAGAAGTGACTGAGAATAGACAACATCCCTGTACTAACCAAAAGAGGCTATAATAAATTAGCGCCCCATATCCATTTGCGCTGCACTCTGACTCATCATGAACATAAGCTCAGTAGGCTACACAACACTATTACTCGATCTCTGTGTGTGTGTGTCTCTTGCTTTGGGAGGAGAGGATGGGAAAATATCTGTATTTTGGGAAGGAAGATTCAGTGAAAGACAGAGGGTGGCAGGAATCTACTCAAGATAAAATTTCAATATTGTAAATAGCTTCTAGTAGAATCATCCAAATATCCACCATTTGAATATTACAAATGCAGAAGTGATTCTTGAGACACAGTACCTCATTGTATCATTTTAATGTATGGATATCAATAGAATTGGGTACATAACTGAGAAATTATACAGAAAATAAAAATACTATATAAATACCAGAGACAAGCCTTAGGTATACTTGGTCACAAATTGTGTTAGGACTCAACTTGTAAACAGCCATGTGTTATATGATTAAGGTATTTTGAAAAGCCAAATATCATATATTAGCAACCATTTAACTAGAAGGCATAGCTCCTGAACTACTATACAATTACAGCTGAGAACCACTTATCTGTATGAGAAAATTAAAGGAACTGTAGTTTACATTAAAATTTCAATTCTAAAACTCTACAAAATATTATTTTTCAATAATACTTTATTGAACTTAACAGAGCTATTTCAGCCATGATGCTGCTATCAACCAAATGTCATGAACGCAGTGAACATTTTCTCCCTTGGGAATCTCAAAATTAAGCACACAGATATAATACACCTATTAAAACGTCAGTTCTTCAGAAAAAACAATAGCCTTCCCTTCCCACCTTCATTCAATTATGTTTCATTTCAGGATGGTGAAAGTGAAGGAAAGACAGCTTAGCTCGCACTGCCAAGCTCCTCCCATTGTCCCACACTCTATCTTGGAAGGACTTCCACATTTACCATCCATACCATTTTCCCTTAATAAAGATTTTTAATGAAAGTCTGTAAAGAAAAACCAAAATGAGCTTTCATAGTCAAGCAGAATGAGATTAATGTGAAAATGTTTCAATCAACTTCAGTCTTAAATAACAGAATTACTTTGGTTCAGTTCCTAACCTTTTCATGAAGCCCAGCTTGAACATGGTAAAACAGAGAAAATCTTTCGCCTTGTAAGAAAGACTCTCCAAGAAATGTGAAAAAAAAAAACAAAACTGCAGCAAACTAGTAGCAATTCTAGTAATCAGTATTAGAATCCATTTAATTTCATTACTCCGCATTAGAATTACCAAATTAAAGCTTTCCCGCCCTATAGTGTGATACTTCAATACCAAAACCAGTGTAGTTAGAACATATTGGAAAACATTTCCTTTACTTTTCAGAACTGCCAAAACACCTAATATATCAAAATAACTCCCTGTAGTTCACTTTAAAAGCTATCTGAATATAAATTTCTCTCTGCTAACCATAGAAGGAAAACCCTGCTTTTTAAAAACACCCAGGGGAGTCAGCCATGTTGCTGCTAATGAATTTCACTGGAAATTGTGGAAACATTCTGCAAAGTTCCTGGAACTTTTTCAGATGCTTGTAAAATACTTGTAAAAGTCTTGATTGAAACACTTCAAGCATGAGACATCATATCTGGTATTAAACCATTAAACAGATTATCTATTGTCACCATTTTTCCAAAGAATGCCAGACAAGAAAGCATATTGACTTTCAGCCAAATAAAATGTATACATATGTTAGTTACATATATAAGCCACATAGATTTCTCCTCTAGCTAAATCTTCCAAACCTACAGAAAGCAATTATGCTCAACTATGTGAAAACATAGCTACAGGAATGTGTACTACTTGCATACTTACAAAGTCTTGTCGAATGTCATTGAAGTCCTTGCCATACTTTTCCAATGCCTCTTCAAACAAACTAGCTTCTGATGCTGACCACTCTTCCATTTCATCTCTACACAAGACAGGCCCTCCAAGTGGCACTAGAACACTGATGGCACTGCTCAAATCATAGTTGTGTTTATGCAGTGTATCCATTGCATGAAACTGGTAAGGACAAGGAGAGAATTAAGATGTGTTTAAACAGACAGTAGTCCATTTCAGTTAATGCAAATTCAATATATTATTCTCTATAAGCCAAGCAAGTAGCCTTAACTAATGCTAAATTTCAAATCTATCTTGATATCATAGTTTACTGCTGTAGAATATAAGGAAAGTAAATTGTTTATTACTTAATTTGGGAAAGGAAATGCCTTGATAAAATGTTTACCAAAAATGACATTAGTTTATTAGTTCCCGAAAATTACTAGCAAACATTTCTGAAGAATCTTTAGTTGGTAGAAATTGGTTCCAAGTAACCCAATAAAGACAGTGGCATATATTGACTGAGGGGCCACTTTCAATTAACAGAAGCTCTAAATAGTAACTAAACAGCTGCTGAGACATCTATGTGCTCAATATTCTCATTGCTGGTGAAGGAAGACATTTATTGTTTTCATTATCATCATACTAAAAAAGAAGCAAGATATTTGTCTCTCAGTAAACGCTGTTGTCAGAGACAGGTAAATAAGGTTTCTTTGGTTGATTCCTTTAGTGTTATAAAAGAGGAAAATGGAAAGCAAACAAGTTAAAACATTCTTCACACTACAGGTAACACTGAATGCTCACATTGATAACCAATGATGAGGAATAAGAAAAGTAAACAAATCCAACCACTGGGAAAATGAGCAATATACAAGGAGCCTTTCTGACTCAGTGTCCCTAAAGACCCCATCACCACAAGCATAAATTGTTTTGCTGAAGGAGATATTAGAGTTATAAGGCACAATACTGTATGTGACTGTATAACAGTCTCCTTCCTATTTGTCCCACCACAGTGCTGAGCTGCAAGTGTAGCATGTACAATCTCACATGAGAAAACATTGGAAGGAAGGAACAGTCCTGTATTGCGTGTCAGTGTAGCAATTCCAGTTGAGCCTCTGCATCCAAATGTACTGCAAATAATGGATTCTCCTCATCTTTTGCATCTCCTACGAGTGACTATTGTCTTTCTCCAGAGTTGACTATAAGTCTTGGAGTGCGATCAAGCACAAGATTCTGGAATTGTTTTGTCTGCAAGATGCAATGTCACTATTATCCTGCAATATGTCATTTTACATATATTTCAAATTCACCAGCCTGGAGAAAAGCTATTTTTAAGTATTCTCATATGGAAATATGTAACATAATGTCTAAAATCCATAAGCTTCATACTAGAGAACGTATACTGAAATCGCTGGTTTATTGCTTATCGTTCAGGTAATGAGTAAACCAATTCTAAAGATTAAACTCTTACAGTAGACACGTTAACAAGGTTTTAATCTTTTTTCAAACTGTGGCCATTGTGGAAAAGCAGTACACATAGGGCCTGAATCCAGATCTATTCACTGATACCAACTTTCTTAAAAATTACAACATAAGTTAATAAATGAGAATCTTGCCTGTGCTTTATGTTTGTCTTTCATCTATAATAAACATCTGAATCCATAAAACTTTCTTGATATTACTGAAGAAAAGATTCATAATGAACTCTGTGGATTACTGGTGTCTTCACTGAGCTATTCTGTGACAGAAGACCACTGACAAGTTCTCTGATAACAACTCTCTGCCTTCTACAGGTTTGCCACCTCTCACCTGCAACAAAATTCCCCCATTGCAGTGAGTAATTTGTGGTAGCAAAAACAAGAGAAGCCCAAAGACATTACTAGAAATTGTGAGAAGTAGTCCTGGAGTATCTTCTTTTTCCAAGGATGAGAGGACTGCAAGAAACAACTAGTGGCAACCTGTTACTTAGGGAGTAAGCCTGGGAGACCTGGTGTTGCTTCTCCCAAATAGGAGCCTGAAGGACAGAGGAAGAACTGCCCTTCCACAAGAACTCTTGCCCAGAGCATACTGTCCAGCACAGACAGAGTCTCACCAGAGGAAAATACTAGCCACACAGATAGAGGGAACTTCAAGACTAAACATAAACAGGTAAAGAAAGAAACTTTTCACCAAAAGCTAAAGAAGAGATGCATGGAGCCATGAAAAAAGGGCATGACAGGGCATGCTGCAAACAAGCCGCAACACGCAGGTCCCAACCCTGCTGCAATTTCCGTAGTCAGTTAAAGCAACTAGACTGAACTCTCTCCAACAAAGCACTCAGATTGGAAACAGAGAATGGATTCTATAGTTCAATAATATTTTAATATGCTTATTGTATAAGCCACATATATGGAAGTCTAATCATTAAAACTACATCATTCAAACACAAAGGAAAAAATCTTCATGCGTTTCATTATGAAGAGATATCCAAAACCAGATTTAAGTCCTAATAGTAAAGTAGCATGGGCTCTTCTGAACAAGTCTATCACAAGGAACAAGTGATTCCATCAGCCTGCTTTGTTTTAAGAGGCTCTAACTTCTATCTATATGCACTATGCAACGTTTAAGAATCTGAGACAGCCTTCCCATTCTTTTTCTCTTGTTAGACATCAGTGCACATTATAAAACTCTGCCTCTGAGAAGGCCAAAAATGCAAACACTTGTCTCACAAGTCTTTATCACTGTAAGAGAAGCTCATTTACTATCATCTAAGAAGGTAAACACACATTGTTTCACATCTTCAGTAGGGTTTTCTAAAAGCACTGGTAGGTTCCTGCCTTGTCTCATTACACCTCTCACTTGCTATTCTGCTGCAAGACCTCCCTGCTGTGTACATCCACCCTGAATTTATTCCTGTTTATAACCTACGCTTTTTCTCTTTCTTTTTTTTTCAGTATCAATCTGTTTACAGTTATCTCTGACTGAAACAACTAATTAGGAATACTGGAAAGCCACAGGTGTGGTGTACAGAAATCCCATTAAAAGCACTTCAGGTGCAAGGGTTATCTGCCTTGCATTAAGAATATAGACAGCATCATTTTCTTAGTGTTATGCACCTATATCCCTTCCAAAGCATAACTGAGATATGCCATAGGTTCTGCAAATGTCTCTACTAACTTTAACTGCTGCTGAAAATATGTTCCCAATTAGCATGGGAATGTCTGAAAAAGTAACTATTATAATGACAAATATGTCTTTTCTTAACTTAGAAGGAAGTGCATTGCCAAAAAGCAAAAGAGAAGGTTTTAAAAAGCTGAGGGGGTAGGAAAATGAGAAGAGACAGACACAGTAATTAAGCCTGGGGTGGCTCCTCTGGTGCCTCATTATAAGATATGCCTTTCATTAAGTGTAATGGAACTTAATGGATCATTTGCAATAGAGAAACATTTACATGGCACTCAAACACTGAAAGTATCCCTTTATTAGCAGCACTGCACATGTACTTTCAAAGAAGAAAGTGCTATAAAGATGAATCTATTCTATTAATCACTGAATACAGTAAGAAGGATATGCAATATGTGAAATTTATTAGAAATTCTTATTCTAACTTAATCTTAATAAAATGAAAAATTTTAAATAACTATCTTGATGAAAGAAATAAAGTATTTAATGTGAATAGAATTGTGTTTGTAAAGTCATATCAGCAAGTGTGAAACAGAACACTCATTTTGTTTATTACTGAAAACTTTACATTTTGCCACTGCCTTTACTATAACCACTATAGTCCAAAGTAAATCCAGTTCCTGTTCAGTAGCCTTTGAGTACACTGCAACAGGTAATAAATTAAAGATTTTTCTAATCATACTAATGAATACATTTTATCTGGATACAAGAACTGCCCTACTGAATTTGATCTGTCATCCATCTAGCCAAGCATTGTCTCTTACAGTCACACCAAGAAATGTTACATTGAGAAAATGAGCAGATAATTCTAATTACAATCTGAGGTCAATTCTCATTTCATTGACCAGCATCTACAAACCTCGGAAATTATTAAGTTTAGATGGAACACCTTTCCTTATACTCCTCAGTACCCATTCATGGCTGTTGGTCCATAATTTTTCTAACCCTTTTTTTAACCTGCTGGTACTGCACATTCCCACAAACTTTTGATTTCCGGGGTTCTTTGTCCAGTTTATAAGGCAGTGCCTTAACTACTTCAAACTGATCTTTTAGTTTTATCAAGTGTCCTCTAGTTCTAATACTCCAGCATCCGGCAAATAGCAGGTCTACTTTAGTCTAAACTATCATCTTCATGATTTTGTACTTAAAATAATAAACAACTGTTGATGTCTTTGGAACTGTAAGTCAAACCTGGTTCTATGAAACAGTAATATTTTTTGTTCTCACATAGCTTTCCTGGCATGCCTGCATTACTGTAGCACATCTTGTCATCTCAGCCAGTATGAATACAGAGACAAACCTTTGGTCTGTAATCGACATATTTTTAACTTTCTCTAAAAGGTGTAGGTGCTTACATTACAGCAAATACTTTAAAAAACTAAGGAAACAGAGTAAGAATATACTAATTAAAATGTTCTTCAAAAATATGCTTACAAAGTCAAACTGCTTATGTTTTAGAAAATTTGATGACATATCTAGTAAGTAAAAAGTATTATCTATACCACTTTCAATCAGCTTTACCACCACATACTTTAAATCACACTGTTGCTCAATTACACCAAATGAATCCCTATACAATGTGTATTATCCACTCCGCTATGGAAAAAACCCACAACTAAAGTCAAGTGATTTACAGTATGATTACAAGGGCAGTACCACCAAGTCTGAAGAAAGCACATAGGATTTTCTACCACATACACCCCCCTTGCATACATAAATAACTGTACATATATATGTAAAAATATATATATATATATGCATGCATATATATACCTTGCAGGTATATAAAGGACAAGAGAAGGAAAATAGGGACTCTAGAGTACCAGACAATGTTGAATTCACAGGTATAAAAGTTGCAGGTTTTCAAGAAGCCACCTACCAGTGTGATGTCTCGGGAAGCAGCGGCTGCACTCATGTGTAAACTAGGTTGCCTGACAGAGCTACTGCAATCCAGTGCTCGAGCAAACGTGCCAACCGCACTGCAACAGACAAACAGTAGAGACAGTAAATACACAGAAAGATGTGTAAAAAACCTCTTTTTTATTATCACACTATGGCATATCTATAAAATGTCCTTTTAGAAACAGAAGTCACATGCTGTAACTGTTAAGATTTCAGATCTTTGCTAACAATGAACAACTTGATACTCAGGAAAAAACACTAAACACTGCAGCAAAAACTCTTTCTCCCCCCAAAAGTAACAACATACATGTACGAACAACAGCATAGAAACAAAAGATATTCAGAGAACTGTAACGTTACCAACTTTTTAATATAGCGATTTTTTTATTAATTACAAAGTCAGAGATTCTACACAGTTTGGATTTTACAACCATGACTTATTTCTAAAGTTTAAAAGCCATAATACTGCTTAAAAAATTACAAGACAAATTAAAAAGGGGTTCACCATGTCCATGAGGAAATTTATTCACTTCAGTAGTGCATATCTACTACTACCATCAGCGATCCAAAGCAAGTATATTAGCTTAGTCTAAGGCACCACCAAAATCCTATTTTTGTCACAGGTTTTAAGCAGCAATAAAATAAATGGATCTTCCAGCATGCTTAGTAAAAGTATTCCAGCATTATTAAAATGGACACATTTTTCTCCAAACCTTTACCTTTTTTTTTCCACTTTTGTTGATTAATTGTACATGGCATTTATTATACTTACCAGAGCAAGAAAAAGAAATAGATGTGGAGAATTAGTGTGAATATGACTGTTCTAAACTGTTAACATTTCTTGGAAGTACATCTATATGTCATGCACAGTGAAGGGAAAGATGCATAAGAGAATTTGACTGGGCTGAGTGGATACAGGAAATGACCAAAGATGCAGCGACACAAAAGGGTACTAATTAACAGAAGAGAAATTGCCCCAGTACCTGGAGTTGTATAATGATGCTTGAGGTGCATTGTGTCACGGTGATTTCAGAAAAAACTCTTTGTTGCAGTTATTAAGTAAAGCCCTTCTAAATTCAAGACCTAGTTATATAACACTTTTAATGCAGTGTAAGCCTCTGGACTAAGGACTGAAGCCTCACTCAGCAATTACACTCTGCACAACTTATAATTATTACTATACCAATAATTATTGGTATAATAATTGGCAGAATTACACCAATGGAGAATGTCACTGACAGATCAACACACATTACTGTACCCTACAAATCCGATATTAATCAATAAAATAATGTGCATCAAGACTTAAATGCACTGGATCATGGAGAAACAGATAACAAAGCCCATTACTTCAATTTCATCTTGAATCTGCAAAGATTTAATACTGAATGTTTCAATACTTGCTGCCAGAATCTTATAAGACACAGTTAAGATTCAACAGCAATGATTCACAGACTTCTGATATTAACTGCTTAGATTTCTAAAGGCTGTGGAATAAATAAGTGATATTCAAACACTGTTCCATGACCCTTGTTCCCTCTTTGCAGAGATGGCAAATATGTGACAAGAACACTCACACACATTCTATTTTGCCTTTTTGTTTTGTTTTAAAGCTTGGCAGTACATAGAACAGTATTTGTCCGCAAATCAGTCCCAAGAATAAGGCTCTATTGTGAACACATTTCCTGATAGTCAGTCAACCCCTTTCAACATGTTGGCATTGATAACGGTTGTAGCTGCACAGTCTTTCCTGTGATCCTTCTGTCACTACTGTTTAAACCAGTGAATGTGGCACGGCTGTATTTCCCTTTTGCCGCTACCTACTAGCTTCTTAGCTTCCTTTTGCATAATTAACACTATTTTCTTTTGACCACATTTCTAAAATAAAATCAGAGTATGCTATAAACATTACAAGAACATGTTCTCACAAGTCACTCTGGCAGATCAAACTTTTGAGGCTGATTTCAGAGCCCAAGTACATGTGAATTATGTTGCCCAGTATGCAAAGTCAAAAATTAGGTCACGATATATGGTTTCTTTTGAAAAAGTGGTAAAGGGGTAAGAAATGATACACCAGTTGACACTGCTTCCAGTGCTATACTGAGTGGGTGAGGATCACAACCAAGAAGCATGGGTTATATGAGGGCAAAAATGAGTCAAACACACAAAGACAAAATAAAAAACCAATATAATAAAACCAACGTTACAATAACAATAAAACAAAAACAAGTAAATAATAATAAAACACAGGCAGTGTGCCATTTAGGGGGGGCAACAGGGACAGGGGATGGAGATGGTATGGAACACAAACCAGGGGGTATGTGCATGTCTGTAGCCTTCTTGAAACCAAAGTAACTTCCAGTTCACCATTCCCTGGAAACTTTTGAAAAATAGTGAATTTTTCAGACAATTCAAAGAATTGTAGAAATTCCAGAGCATTTGGCTATTAATAGTAACTAGGCTCAAAACTTGAAAGTGATATACAGTGCTCTGTATAATCTAGCTATGCAATTCAGACCCTAAGTCAATATGGATTTTTAGAAATCATTGAAATACCCTAATTTTTATATATTTCAATTAAAAATACAGATATGAGTAACATACTGATGCAAAGGTCAAAACATTTCCTTTGTCACTTTTTTCTAACAATACTACCAAAGAATTGTTTAAAAAATGTTAAAAGGAAAAAACAAGTAACTAGCCAATGCCATTTCCAGAAGCCACACGACTGTTTTCACCTACCAGCTACCAAAATAAAACTCAGTATTAAGTCAACACAGGCTGAACAGTCACACCTTAAGTACTCATTTCTTTCTTTTTAACAAACTCTTCAGTGTCGATATCCCATTAAGTTGGTAGAATCCAAAGAATAACTATAAATATTTAATTGAATCTTTATTTAATTAAATAATAAATTCAGCCTAAAAAACTGTGCTCAGCAAGCTACTTACAAATTACTCAACAAGTAAAACACTGAGACTTCAAAAAGAAATCAATACTCCCCACACCTTCCTAAATTAGCTAAAGCCAAAACTCACACAGACAGGGAATTATGCAGGTGGAAGAGAGATGGACAAGACCAATAACTGGTGTTATCAACAGAGAGATCGCTCTGCACAGCCTGTATCATCAAGCCGCTATAAGAGCTTTAAGGGTTAGACCAAATGATCCAGTGTTACCCTAATTAGGTTTTCCTTATTTTAATTATCTTAAGGACCAGAACCAATACCATTATCTCAAGGACTTATAACAGATTGCAGCCAACAACCATACAAATAAAACAAATGGATATAATCCAGTGGCAGGATCCACAACTGTGGAATAAATCCACAAATTCAGCAAAACTCAACAAGATCTATGTCCAAAAAAACCTGAGTGAGCTCTCTAGGGATGTTGTACCTGTGTGCCCTACAATTAGGGAAAACTTCAGATTAGATTTTGAACACAGAAAATATATTTCTCCAAATTTGTTATAGTTCAACTCTGAGACATTAAAGGAAGTAATTGTTCAAATTTTTGCATAAGATTAGCATTAATGGTAACTAGTTCTGAAAAGCGCTGTTATTTACCAAAGAAAATCTGGAACCACTGTGATTATATATGAAGATAAAAACAGCCACTGGTTTCCCCAGGAACAACAGCAGTCCAGCATCAAATCAGATCCAGAAAGTTCTGGATCCAGACCAGTAACTCTTAATTTTCTTCTACCTTGTATTCTCAAAAATTCAGCTGAGACAGAAATCCTTCTTAATCCGAGAATATTTTAAAATTGTTCACTTTTATACATTGTTTCTTTGTTTCAGCAATACCAGACAAGTAGTGGGTATACTCTGGCCAAAGCTGTTTGAAGTGAATCACATTTGTGCACACATAAATCTGCAAATCCAGTTTTCCACAGAGATTGGTAAACTAATGAATGAGACCTATGCCTCACTTAAGAGCTAATATTTTTAAGGAAAATAATTAAGTGATCGTTGGTGGTTTTTTACATATTAGGAAAGCTTTTTGTTTTCCTTATTATTACTCCAATGTTCCTCTTCACTGTGAACTGGAACCAGTCCTAAAAGACGACCTCTTAGACTACCGTAAATTTTAAGCCAATTAATAATCCAATTCCTCTTTAAGAGTCTCGTGATACTTAAAATATTGGAAAAAAAAAGGAAAATATACTTCTCCGGTGAAGATATATGTCAGCAGCACTGTATTAATTAAAGCTGAAAATACCCCTGAGATTTTTACTAGTCAATTTTGCAAAATCTGACCTGAAGAACACATTCAAAGCAAAATGATGCTGTTCTAGAAGACATATTTTCCTTGCCTTTCTAAGAAATTGTCTCTGTAGTGCTATGCTTCATTATTATCACTTCAGGTATTTACAGCTCAAAGGGAGATGACACAGTAAACATGAAAAGTTACCTGCCACTGTTCTTTTGCTGAAAGACTTTCAAAGGTAGGGTAAGGATAGCATTATATATCAATGTATGCTACGATCAACCTTCACTTTCATTACTATATGAATAGAAATGAAACATTTGAAATATTTCTTATTCAACAGAAATAGAATCTGATACACAGAAGTAGTTTAATTCACAGGATGTTATTTAAGCTATCATCTGTATGCCATTCTGCAGTTTCACAGTCACAGGGGAGGAGATTTACAGCCCCTTAAAAGCAGGTCCATGGAAATGCTGCTAAGAATTTTCTTCTTTATACTTCAATAGATCAAAATATATTTAAAAGAAATTCAAAAAGAAATTCAGCTCCAAGTTTGAATTAGTTCTTTTCAAAGGAATCTGGGTCAAAGAGTGCAGTAATACAAAATGCACAAAGGAATAAACATATATTGGCCAAGCGTGACAGGCAAGCAGAAATGTAGAATTTTTGATATGCCTAGTAAACTTGATGTGAACATATTTTTCTTTTTTATTGCCAAACAATCTGCCTACCATTAGATGCTGTAATTCACCTTGCTAGCAAACATCTAGTTGTGCGATGCAGTGTTGGCATCAAGATTTTTCACCATTTTTACTGCTTTATTTTATGTTGCAATTCTGCCATTAAATTTAATTATCTCTTTAATGAACTCCAATTTCTTTTACTTCTCACCACCTAAAGAGGATCCAGAAGCATAGTAATACTCAAGCTTTCTAACTGTTGACTTTAATGTATTTATTTTCATTTATGATCTTTGGGAATCTTGTCTACTGCCATTGACTACACTGAATTACTTGGCAAGAACAGAGCATTAATATCTGATCACACTTGTAAATGTTTTTCTTATTGTTCTCAGTTGATGAGTGTTTTCTTTTCCTCAATATGATGGACACCTTGCCAGTTGAAGCTGCATTGTGGTCCCTTCCTCACTACAAGATAAATTCATGTAACAAATACACATAGTATCACAGAACACATCCAAATACACACATATACCATGAGCACTTATAACTACATCAATAGTAACCAACAGGAAATTAACATAATCACTGTCTTAGAGAAAATGGGAAAGTGGGAACAACACAAGAAGAATCAAGCTCTAATTTAAAATTACTAACAAGTAATTTTTCATTCTTCTGTGATTTTACATCAAAAAATAAGCATTCAAATGAAGAGAAATATGTCAGAGGTACGTAATGCCATTTTAATTTCATAGAAATAAAAGTACAAAACTTTAAGGCAGAGATGCAATGCTTCAAGGCTATTTTAATTAGATTTCAAAACTCTGGTTTAGTTGAAAATAAACTGGGACCACAAACGTAAAATAGCTTAATTTAGAGATATATTCCTTCCAGAAGACTATGTTGATAATGTGGTTAGACGAACAGGACTAGAATGTTCCAAAAATGTATGATGCAATGAATTATAGAACACATTAGCAGATAGAAAGAAAATGAAAGAAAAGAAGGGTCATGTCTACAGCTCTCAGCCCAAACCAGATTGCACAATTCCTACCGCAGTTGAGACAGGGCAGGATCATTTTTGACTCTGACAAACTGAAAAACAGGCAGGACTATTTATCTGACATTGAAATGAAGTACGCCTTGTATATTAGGAATGATAGAGACTGATGACTGGAGGAAACAGGGTGCATCTGTATCAGTCATTTAGTTCAAATTAGGAAAGGAGTTTCAGAGCCACTGTCCGTACCATTTTTTCCTACTGCACTTTAACCAACAACAAAAAGTATCTCATAGCACAAAAACTGAGTTTCTGTTAAAGTAGTTCGATGTACTCATAGATATTTAGTCCATAGGACCTGATTAGAGTTAGACTAAAAATAAAACTTAAAACATGCACAGTCTGGACATTAGTTTCTCGGCACCAAACATTTCAATTCTACGAATCACCTTCTGCTCTACTGAACTATTTGCTAATGTGGACAGACCTAAATGGCTGTTGCAGCTTCTCAAACTCCTGTTCTTTGAAGCTAGTAGCTACAGAAGAAATGTTGCAAACTTATATGACAGAAGAAAAACTGGTTGATGAAGTTGTATCTTACTTGAATGGAGTAGAAAATGTTGTTGGACTTCTCACTGCCAAAACCAAACATTATCCAAAAAACAACTCAAACCCAGAATACATTAGTCTGATGTCTCAAGCTTCTCCTAACAGATGTTTTTGCTAATTCAAGTAAGAGCCCTTACCCAAATTATGCTTCAGTAGTAGCAATAAGATACTTTCAAGATTTGTAAGTCAAGATACTTGGGGAGACCAAGGTTATGGATCCTTACTTTTTTTTTTTTTTTTTCAAAATCTCCAACAATTTTCTTCCAATTTCTGGACAGGATAGGCATATTCTTCTATCTTTCTATCCAGCAAATTATTACATATTAGGGCTTAGTGACAGTCCTAGACTGACCAAGCATATAAACCTAGAAAAATGCCTCTCATTCCTGAGGCAGTAAGCAAACCTTGTCAGACTGGGAAAGCTATGTGCCCATAGCCAAATATAAATGTTCTTGCAAATGGGCAACACAAATAGGAAGAGTATTTAAACACCTTCTAAAAAACCAACAAAGCGTGCTTGTGTGATTGAAAAAACTAAAGCATTTATGGACAAAAGCACCTCTTCTTTCAACCAGATCAGACTGAAGAAACTGAATACTCAATGCCTTTGATGCAGCATGTAAAAAGGATCTCTTGAAAATGCTTTTAAAATGTCAAATACAGATAGCTTACACACACTTCACCAAAATCACATCTAGGAAGGCATTTAGGAAAAAATTCTTATTGTCAGATTTTCAAATTTGCAAAACTAAACACAACCAGAGAAAGACCATTCCAACTGAAAATGCAGCAAGTACAGTTAAATGCCCAGTGAACTGAAGTTAGGCCCCAGCAGAGCTGTCTGTTAGCAGTTTACCAGATCACAATACCACTGTTATTCAAGAGTTTTTAATGGTCCCATATAAGGGTTCAGTATTAAAGCTTGCAAGCACATAACACTCTGAATTGAAAGCTGCCACAATCATCACAGAACTCTTTCTCCACAAATTGGTGAAAACTTCTCTGAGAAGCAACAGGAATATGATCTTGCAGTCTGTGAATGAAAGTATAAAGGAGTTTGGAAACAGTTTCTGTCAGTTAAAAAGAAACTTACAAGAATGAAGAGTTTTGTGGAAGAACATCCATAAAGATGCACCTGAGTAACATCTGATTGCAGATGCTGTTTGCCTGCCACAAGATCCTGAATAGATACAATTGGTCAGCCATGACCCACCATAACAGAAGCCTTCTTTACAGAAATTTGTCAACTTCTAAACAAATCCTGTCTTGATCAGGGCACAGCATTGCACAGGACGTCTTAAGTAACATGAAGAAAAGAGAAGCACCCTTTTCCCTACATATTTAATTTATTCTCTGTCACTTTCCAGCACACTGCTTACTGCTATGCTCCTCTGGGAACATTTTTGGACTCCACAGTATACTACTTCAGCTCCCCAGAGTGACTGCAAAATAGTAGGTAGTAATTTAAAAGCAATGAATGAACTCTTCAAAAACTCACATAATCTTCATGCAAATGTTTTTTTAGGACACCCCATAATAATCTACCCGTACATGTCTAGGTGTTACACTGCTGGTGAAGAAGCAGCTCTGTTTCCTGTGTTCTCTTCTACGGAGCATCTACCAGGCATTGTGACCTTCTGAACAGATGCACATTAACACCTAAACTCCTCTGGTTTGCTTGAAAATTAAACAATGGCAGGCAAGTTTTAGCACTGTCTAGAAAGGAAACAGCACTACAAGTGGGAGAGTAAGAAAAAAAACAGGTGGATCAGCATCTAACCTGTAAAAGAGTAAATTGGCAACATACTTTACCGCGCACATAGGCTGGAAAATATAAAGAAACTTCTCCATTTCCTTCCTCAAATGCTTTGTTCAAAAGGGAGAAAGAAAAAAACCAAAAACTAGAAACCATGTACAAAGATTATTTACCTGAGAAGATTTGAGACTACGCTCTGCAACCAGGTTACAGAAAACACAGGACATGGAGTGATTCAGGATAAAGTCCCTGTGTTAACTGTGATTAACAGTTCTCTGCTATCTTTAGAACATTACTTTTGTACTACATTTGTAAGTAGGAATTACAGGCAAAGCCTGCTGTATTTCATGAATGTAGAATTGTCCTTCAGTCAGAAGTCTATAGATTTTTTGAAGTGTTTTTTTTTTTAAAGTAGAGAAATAATTTTTAGAGGTATTTATGAATTCAAAGCACTTTGATGTTCCTCTCATAAATCTGCATAATCACATTAATTTATAAAATGTATAAAATTGAACTGACCTGATTTTTTTCACTAATGAAATGCATCACTTCAAAACTTGTATTTCAACATTCATCCAAAATAATTGCACCACGTATTATTCAGCTTATATGCATACTTGGCAAGTTCTGCATTAATTTAATTTGTTAACATTTTCTTTATTTCTACTCTTAACTTCTATATTTCAAGCACTGTAATACAAAACTGAATTATTAGCACTGAAATCCTGTTTCATTTACTCCAAGGGGAAAACAGACTGATGTCTACCTTCAAAGTATCAAATTCTACCTGAAATACAGGGAATGTTGCATTATTCCAAAACTCTCTTTTTCTCTCTCCTGTATTGGAAGCTTCAGTAAATATAACAGAATGTTATGGTCTGGTTTTCTCTTTCAGCTAATTTTGGGAAAGAGTAGGGCTCACAAAATGGCAAACAGGTTGAGTAACACGATATAGGGGAATAAATAGTCAACAGGAAAAGGAAAAGGATTTTTTTATTAGAGGATTTTAATCTTACCGTGCTACAACTAAAAACTGGTCAATCTGACGGTCAGTAAGGGGGCTATCTGGATCCCATACTTTTACTTCCAGCTTTGCCTGTTCTCTGTCATCTAATTCTCCTGTCAAAAGGTAGATGGGACAAAACACTTATTACTCACAACGTTTTTCTCTGTGTAGTTCTTGTACTACGTTTAAAAGAGACATTGTACATTTTTAAATACATATACACATGGAGTACTTAACAATCAGCTGTTATCCATTTAAATTCCATAATGCAGCATCATCAAAATAAATCTCTTTCATTAACATCAACATTTCAATTTAAGGAGACATTCTTAGGAGGTGTAGTATAAATGAACTTTAATAAAATGTGATTATAAAATTGAAACCATAACCTAAGTAACCAGTGGTTTCTTTAAATTGCTTCTCTACTATATCAAAGTTACTGTTTCACTTAAGCCATACTAAAATTAATTTTACACTTAACCAGCTTTAGCAATTAAATTCTATTTAATTTGTATTCTATGCCCCCAAAATACAAATCATAAGGCAAAAATGCTGTCTAGTACATTAAAACATTTTTTTCACCTCTTCAGCCACTACATTATCTGTATTGTTTACATAAATCATACTATTAAAATTGCTGTGTAGATTGACTAGTTATATTCTCCTATAAAGCAATACATAAAGCTACACCACAAGAAATTTACTATATACTACATCATTTCCCAATTCCATTTATCTGAACAGAGCAATTTGTCAGCATGCACATGGTCAAAACAATGGTGGTTGTTTCTAAAATTTAATTTGTCCTTTATTCATTATTACAAGAGTATGACTTTTGTACTGCTTGGAAGAACACTGAAGTGTGAATTCATTACAATGATTCACATTCATATGGAAGCATAGATCTTGTCTTGCCTACTACACCAAGAGATTTTCCTGTAAAATAAGAAACATTTCAGAGGCTAACGGAGTAAGCACCATGTATTCCACTAGTCTAAGATCTACCTGCGGGATGTAGCTAACACATCTGTGGTCACAATAGATGAGAACAGTAAAGTTAAAATCATTGTCTTCCCTTGCGGTTTTAAAATATGTGTTCTTCCTTCAGTAAACACGTGAAAAACACTAACGTTTAGTTGGTTGATGGTACTTGTCTGTGACTTTTATGAGCTACTATGAGAGTAAAAACCTGTTGTCAGACATAGCCATTCCACTCCCTTTGAAAATCAAGGCTGTGTAGGCACTTCTCTGAGCACACAGAAGATCACTTTAGTCTGTGCTATTTCTTATGACTTAATGAAAACAGACATTAAATAACCTGTACACTTAAGAGTCTGGAAGTAGACTGCAAACCAAGCACTGGCTCTTCTGAAATCACATCATATACGGTTAGTTTCTCTAGCACATTCGTTCTGAAAGGAAATTAAAATGTGGTATATATTTATCCCTATCAAACACACAAGTTAGAACTGCACCATGCTGTTTCAGGAACAAATTTCACAGTCACATTCTCAGAAAAACACAGTACATTACTTTCTTCCAATACACACATAATAAAGAATTGGCTTCCTAATGGGAATTCTGCTTCTCATCAAGCTAATTCACATCTAGTACTGGAGACAAACTTAATTTCTGGAAATCTTGGATAGGATTTTAGGTCTATAAACTTATTCAATGGATTACACACCTGTCAATACATTCATTTTTTCCATCTGTGACAGACACTTTGTGGGTGATGTTCTACATTTTATAAATAATCTCTGAGCACTTCATTTCAATCTGTTAATATATATTTTTTAAATACCTTTAATGTTATTTAACTGTTTCAGGACATCATATTCTGGAGATCATAACAATACTCAGGCAGAGTACACTTCTCACAAAGAGAAAACATTATACAAGCACAGCATGAGTATTCAAAACATGTCACTCTCCTGATTCAAGTTTGCAAAAAGACCAAAAAAAATTGCAATACTGTTCTTTTTACTTAAACTAGAGGTAATTAAACAATTGCTACTACGAAGTGTTTTAGTAACTCTTGATAAAAGTGATTCTGAAATATTGCCAAGCAGTATTTTATAATGGCAGTAGGCATAAACAGGACACGAGCAATAGAATACCTATACCAAAAGAATCTAAACAGATAGAGCTTTCCATAAAATAAGTGGTCTGTGCCAAACTGCACTTCAAAAAAACCCTTTCATTCAGATTTTCCACTTAAATGGCAGGATATTATCACTTAAAGAGGAAAAGTAACCTTAAACAGATCAAATCATGGAGGCAGTCATGCAGTGCTGAAGAAATCTTTGGAAAGTTCATTTCAGGAGTAAAAATGAACATTCTTTCATAGAAACTTCATTTGCATGTGCTGAAAGTATCCGTATAGGATGATCACATAAGATAAACAAATCTTATTTCAAAATAATAATTATATACCCCCTCTGCTGTACTTGACTATCTATCCTTAGTTAATCATGCCTGTAGGCACACACATACTATAGGATTTCTAATGTGGCAGACCCCTTTAAAACTAAGATGCAATTTCTGTTAACACATCAACATTTATATTCTATAGTGTTATAATTTGACACTGAAGTACAAGACATTCAAACTGAACAGATGATAAAGTTGTCACAGTATTAATTCCTTACACTGCAAAAGCCAGGACACAAATGGAATGGGGGAGTTTAACACTTTCAGTGCATTTGAGAAAGTTCAGTTTCATATGTGTCACCCTTCCTCACATACCAATTACAGCTTCTGAGAAATGCTGAGTCATTTTTCTGAGCAGTGGGTATGACATACCAGTGTATCCAACTTATTTTAAGCGCTGCTTATAATTTTATTATAGCCAATCTAATCCTGATGATTAATTTTACTGGAAAACACTAGTAGATGGTCAGAAATACGCCTGGTTTATGCCTCATCAATCATTCAATGCCTTACTTCTCATGGTTTTCTTCTAATAAAAAACAAAAAAGTTAATTTTTTCTTCTTAAAAAAAGCAAAAAATCTGCATTTCAGTCACCTTAAACAAATGAAACCATGATATGGCCCTTTCCAAAAACAAGTGTAAAAAAAACCTACAAAAGTAAACCATGTGAAACTTTTAACCAAATACAATTAAGAAATTTAAGATCTTTTAGACTTCACTTTCTGCAGACAAATACCACAAAGTTAACTAGTACCTTAGATTCAGCATGATTCTGTGTTGTTCTTATATCCAGCTAAAAGAAAACAACTTGCAATATAAACTATGAGCAGTTTTTAAAGTGCAATTCTTTGAATTTAACAGATAGATAACAATACTGCAATATTATATCCTTTTAAGAAACTGAAATATGAATCTATAGAAGCTGGACTTTTTTAAAAAATGCTTTTCAATGAAACAATACAAATTCCACTTGTAATGACAAACAGTTGATGAGGTATCTGACTGAGAAGTAGTCAGAAGAACAGTTTTTAAAGACACTTGTGAGATATAAAGTCTTATTTTTGTATTTGGCATGATTTGCACCATTTTTCAAAATACCTTTTTATTCTCCTTCTCAAAAAGTAACTTAGTGGTCAATTCAATCCAAACATGCAAACTATACACCTGCAGTTCTCAGCTTTCTGAGTGAACCCACCTTTCAGGATATGCAAAACAGAGGTACCAGCTGCTAGATCCTTAATTGCACATGACAGAAAACCTGTAGTTGTGGTTTTTGGTCATAGTAAGGTGGCAGACATATCCATGGACAGCAGTTGGACACCAGACCGATAGTCTGAACCACAGAGTTCCTCCTACTAAGCAAAGTCATTCAGGGCTTAATACAATCTCCTGAAATCAGCCAGTCTTGATGTGTGCATCAATTACTCAGCTCACTAGATATCCAAGCAAATAAACAAGAAGGCAACTCAGTGTCTTTATCCTTGTGTGTCAGCTCTATTCTTGTGAAAGAGGAATATCTCTTAGCTAAAGTTCCAAGGATGAGGAAGAGAAGTACTTGGGCTCTTATCCTCCGCTTGCCCAGTTCAACACCTAACACAATGAAATTGCTTTTACTGAAATATGGATTCAGATTTAGTAGATAAAGCAATTAGCAGATTTTTTCCAGAACTCTTTGGCAGTATCCTAAATTGCAGGTAAACCTAAATGTTTTTTTTGAACATAGTTTCATGAGTTATTCTGTGTCATCGCTGTACAAATAGGAAACTAATCAGTGAAAATGAGGTTTCAGTTAATGAACCACATTCTCATGCTGCTATTTAAACTGTCTGCAAACATTTTCTCTAACTTACAGAGAAGAAAAATAAAATCATACTGAATTTTCTTGTAGTGTCTAGGTATGAACAAAGTTCCAGATGTTAAGCCTGTCTGTCTAAAGTAAAATTTGAGCTTTTTCCTTGGATGAAAAGTTTCTAGTTCCCCACTAAAACAGTCAGCATATTCATACTGCATAAAATTCTTACTAGTAATATTTATTTAATTTCCATCATTCTATCATTTCTAACTCTCACCAGTACTGATAATCAAAAATCATCCAGAAAAAAAGTTCAAAAACTTGCATTCAACTCTTCAAAAAATAAAACTGAGTTATGTGCAAATAACTTCTCTGAAAGTAACATGAGAAAGTTTAGATTATTTTAAAAGTGTAGGCAAAAGGAAAATCATTTGTTTACCTTTCAGTTTCAAAACAATCTCCCCTCTCCCTTACCTTGCCTGACAGAGGTATATTCAGATTTCAATTAGTCATTCAGATAATGAGTTGTATGTTTACACAAATCTCATGGTAAAACTCAAGTTATGATCATAACACACATATAAAGACTGGAAATGAAAAACAGGCTACATATAGAGGCTACAAATGAAAGATATCAGGTGATATAGGCCTGTTACTTGTCTACAGACATTTAAACTGCTACTGAGCATTTTCAAAGCCAATGGAACATGCACAGTCCAATCTTATCCTCTAGAGCTTGAATCTATATACATTAAAAAAAGAGTCATTCTTCACTTGAAATATCTCTTTTGAAATAGAACTGCCTCCAATGACCTTAGAGTTCTCTCAGTGTTCAGTCTTACGGTGCTTATAAATCAATCGCTGATGATCCGGAAAAAAGATTCACA